GCGGCCGCCCGAAGGAAGCGTCTGGGAGCGGGATTACTGGAGAGCAACTGGCTCATCGGGATTCCTCGCCTAATCAGAGGTGTTACCTCCTCCTCAGCCCACAGTTTCTCTCGACATCCTTTCATCCATCAGATTTTCAGTGATAGGAAGAAAAAAAAAAAAGCAGAACCCACCCAGTCTGTGAGCAACCCACACACCAGCCCCTGCGCGCTGCGCTTTGCCGGGAGCGCAGGGAAGAGGCGGCCCGGGGCAGCGGCGAGCGCCGGGGCCGCTCCGCGGGCTTCCGCGCCGCGCAGAGCGGCGTTTGCGCCGGCGGCCGCTCGGCCCGGGCTGCGGGACACGGGCACGGGGCGAGGCTCCGGCCCCCGGAGAAGGAAGCGGCCAAGGTGCTCTGGCCTCTGGCAGTGATTTTTGTCCCATGGGATTTCCTCTGCCCCCCGCGACTGAGCCGATGAGGAGCGACGCGTTTCTAACATGAACTTTCTCTCTGGGATCTGGTGGTCTCTTGCTCTGGTCCTGTTCTGGGCAGCCCCGCGCGTCACCTCCTCATGGTGGTAAGTTCTGCAAACGCGAGAATTTTTGTTTGCTCTTGGGAAAGGTGGGGTCGGATTAATCGCGGATTCGGGAGGAAACCCCCCCTGGGTCCGCGGCCGGCCGGAGCTCCCGCTGCCAGCTGCTCCCTTCCAGAAACCCCAGCCCCAGCGCGGCCGGGATTAGCCTGTCCCGGCATCTCCTTCCACACCCAGTTTCTCCTCCCCGGCTTCGTCCTTCGCACGGAAAGGTCCCTCTGGCCGCATCCTCGCAGGGTGACTGGCAGCTGCCGGGCCCTGAGCGGGCTGCAGCCCGCGGGCCGGGCTGCGCGGGGGCTCCGCGCCCGCGCATGGGGCTCGCAGCCCCAGCCGCTGAGGCGCGCGGGGCCGCCGCACATGGGGGTGCCCCCCTGGCCGCCCGCTGCCCCCTCGGCGCTGCGCTAAAAACCTGCGTGGGAAAAGGGACCCCCCCCAGCGCCTGCAGCGAGCGCAGCCCGCGCTCAAAGGTATTTGATCCTGTTGGGAGACGTTCAGGAGGTGGCATGGGAGCAGAAATCGCCCGCTTGGATTGGGGATTGAAAGCAAAGCAAAGCAGAAATATCCTAGTGCGCAAGAGGGCTTAAACTTCGGCTTATAAACACGGCGAGCGGGGGGTACATTGAGCCTTGACACTGGCTGACACGGGATCAAAGCCTGATTTATCAGACCGGACGTTTTTCAATAAAATGACTACTTCCGTGTCCATAGTCTATAAACATTATTTATTGCGATGGCTTTTTGTCATATTGTCTTTTAACTGTCACTTACATATATTTTTGGAAGTCGCAGTYTTAACGATTTTATGATCATAGAAAGTAATGAAAACACGAGAAAAGAAGCGTTTTCTTCCATTTGACCACTTCAAAAGACACCTACGGCGGTTTGGGTTTTATAAGAGGTACCTTTCTAAACATTTCAGCACTAATAGAGAACATCTGGATACAGATGATGATGTAATTTAATTTTTGTCAAGTTTTGTTTTCCCCTCTCTTTTTTTTTTTTTTTTTAAGCACTGCCCAGCGCTGTCACAACGGAGGTTCGGGTCCTCCCCAGCGCCCCGCGTTCCTTCCCCTGCGCCCCCGTCCCCCCCGTCGGGGCAGCCGCGCGGGGACGTCGCTGCGCTGCGCTGCGCTCCCCGCGTGGGCGGCCCCGCGCTGCCCCTGGCCCCTTTGCCTCCCGCAGGTACATGGGGGCCGTGGGCTCGTCGCGGGTGATGTGCGACAACGTGCCGGGGCTGGTGAGCCGGCAGCGGCAGCTGTGCCGGCGGCACCCCGAGGCCATGCTCTCCATCGGCCGCGGCGTGGCCGCCTGGACGGCCGAGTGCCAGCACCAGTTCCGCCAGCACCGCTGGAACTGCAACGCGCCCGAGCGCGGCCACCGCCTGCTGGGCCGCGTCCTGCTGCGCAGTGAGTCCCGCGCGGGCGGGACGGGACGGGCGGGACGGGCGGGACGGGGCGCCGCGCTGCCGCCCCCATCCCTGGCCCGTGGGCGGGCGAGAGCGGCCCTCAGGCAGCCGCTGCCAGCCGGGGAGCTCAGCCCGAGCCCAAGGGCCGCAGAGGAGCCCGGCTCACAGCGCTGTCCGCCCTGCAGCGACRCTCGCGTCCCGTCAGGGCTCCAGCACGTCATGGGCAGCGGAGGTTCCATCACCTTCCCAGCCCCTTCTGCTCTCTGGGCTGCTAAACATTGGCCTTAGCCATCCAGGGAATCCTTGAACAATCCTTTTGAAGCAGAGACAAGGATGAGAGCCCTGCACAGWGGCCCTGTCCCCGCGTCACCATGTGCTGCCGTCCTCCCAACCTGCAGCTCCTTCCACCGAGCACCACACACGGGCACAGTGAGGCGGTGACCAACAGCGAGGTTGTCCTAGTGCCCTCACGGTGTCCCTGGCCGTCTCAGAGGGGTCAGCCCTGAGCAAGGGTACCACAGGGCCAAGCCCTGCGGCCTCCCTGGCCACGGGGAGGACAGAGCGTCCCGGGCACTGACCTGAACGGGGCATCACAGTCTTGGAGCATCTCCTGGTGCCCGCCCGGGCTTCTGGTAAGAGGCCCCTGCCCACAGCGGCCTCGGTGCTGCCTCTGAGTAACCAGCTACGTCACCGCTGGAGTTAGATGAGGTTTGTCTGGCATACAGGAAACCGTGTCTRGCAGATCATGTCCTAAATCTGATGAGACTATTTAACGAAACAGTCAAAATACATTTTTTCCAAAATTGAAAATTTCGCTGTTGGCTCAGGGGGGAGAGTAAAGACACTCTGACCCTGATKAGCCAGTGATTGCAATGGGAAGTAGAGCTGGGTATTTCTCTGATTTAAAGGGAAATATTTTTGATTAGTTTAATAAGCTCAAATAAAAACTTTCCAAGGGCATCAAGTTTTGATATTTCTGAACACATTTTCTGAGAAATAATATCTTCAAAAGAAAGATATTTCTTGATGAAACAAGCCAATGAGTCTTGCATGTAATTTTGAAGCTAGCATGGGCAAAGTCAGGATTTCCCTAYGCCTCCTGTGAGTTTTAAGTTGTCCTTTGCCAAGGATTTGCTCAGCACACACAACTGTGGGTCTCATTCCTATCTGAAGCATATAGATGCTACTGGAAAATGAATACTGAACAAGTTGTATAACGCAATGTTGACTCTGTCTTGGCCATTCCTACAGTAAAGTCACAGGTAACATTGGCTCTCTGCGGTTCTGCTTGGCTATGAAATTACTCATCAAGGCCTGATAGGTCTCTTTGAGTCCTGGTGCCTTAACTACTGCACAAAAACATATTCCTCACTATTTCCATGCTAAAACCTTCAAGATATGAAAATATCTTGTTACTGTAAAGAGATTGGGACAATTTGACCTAGCTCTGTATTGTGAATTACTACACCTCAGAAAAGAAAAACCCAGTTTCAAAAGCTATTGGCAGCAAATTGCAATAGACATATTGCTTCCCTTTCCCTATTTAATAATTCCTTAGATCTGTCTTTGAAATAGAACTTCATATATATWTTTTTTTCCAAATTGATTAAATGTGGTTGAAATGCCAGCTATCCTGTTAGGTATCTGTACAAAACAGCCAGTCTGTGAATATATATTAATCAATATYAGAAACACCCTCCTAATGTTTTCCAACTCCAGCCCTATATTGATGAGCTTGTGCGAGGGAGGGGTTCAAGTTTAAGCCATGACTAATTCTGACTCCAGGGAATGTGCATTTTGCGTGGTTTCAGCCCAGTTTTCAGTCCTGTGCTTAGCAAAAAGCACAGGGTTGCTGCCTTCGACTGCTCGAGCTGCACAGGTTGGGGGGGAGCTGCTCGGCCCCACCGGCTCAATGGGTTTCAAAGCTCCCTCTTTGTTCCAGGTAGTCGGGAATCCGCTTTTGTCCATGCCATCTCCTCCGCCGGGGTTGTTTTTGCTATCACAAGAGCTTGTAGCCAAGGGGAGTTGAAATCGTGCTCCTGCGACCCCAGGAAAAAGGGTTCGGCCAAGGACAGCAAGGGTCTCTTTGACTGGGGTGGCTGCAGCGACAACGTTGACTACGGCGTCAGGTTTGCCCGGGCGTTCGTGGACGCCAAGGAGAGGAAGGGGAAGGATGCCAGAGCCCTCATGAACCTGCACAACAACCGAGCCGGAAGGAAGGTGGGTGTCCATCCCTCAAGGTCCTGCAGGGCTCGCTGTGAACTCCTGTAGATCTGGGGCCCGGAGGATTTAATCAAACTCCGATAAACTCCTTGGCCCTCGCTGGGTGATCTCAACAGCCAGAGCGAGTGTGGGGTGAGCGGCCAGCTGAGGCACTGCTTCCAGGTCCCTTACAGACCCAGCACGGCCCAGATTTCCCAAGGGAAACCTGCAGGTTTGGTGCCAGCCTCTGCAGGAAAGCTCGGGGCGAGCGGGCGGCTTGGGCCCAGTCGTTGCACCAGCCCCTGCATGAGCAGGAGCTCTGCTTCTGCCTAACAAAAAGTGAAAATTCTTAAGCAGAGCCTAAGAGACGCTGAAGGCTACACTGGAGAGCAGACTTGACTATTGAAGAGCAATTTCAGAGTGCTTTTGGAAAGAAAAGAAAGCAAAAGAGTACTGAATATTCCTCCAGGCCTGTAACAAACCCAAACAAAGTCACTTCACAGCTCAAGGAAGTAAAAGCCACAATAAATATCACTTGAAAAGGTTCTTGCCTTTTGGCATGACCTTCTCTAAAACAAGAATCCTTCTCTAAATATTGTATTAAAATAATATGCTTTAAATTTAACAAGAAGTCCTTACTTTTTTAATTATAAGTAATAAAAAGAGGTWATTGCCAAATGCTATATTGTCTACTGCTGGTGGAAGGACTGAAGAATATACCCACTGATATTTTGTGCCGGTATTTACAAGCAGAAAGAACAGTGCCCGTAACTGGAATATATTGATTCGTTATTCAAAATATAAAATAAAATTCCCTGCATCCATAAAAGATGAGAGAATGCAGAAGATTATTTTATAGTGCTAGCTCAAGCATTCTTAAAATGACTCTTGGATGACTTCCTGCCTTTCCTTTCCTTTAACATATCCAGTAGAAAGATTTTATATATCTATATAAAAATATATAAAATATATATATTCTTATGTCCTTTTGTATCAAAAAGTTCCCCTAATAAACCATAAARGTACCTTATATCCAAGTTTGAACCCAACCGCATCTCTTCAATGAACTGTAATGGAAGCAGRTGCTCTTCCCGATAAATTTTTCTCCTTTAACATCTTTCCTCCACCTGCTCATCGGCAGCAGTTATCACTAATATGTAGTACAGCCACGTGAGGCTATCCAGAYCACAGACATGTGGTCAGCGGATAAAAGGCTAATGCGGATGTCTTTATGTTGCCTAAAGTCTAAAAGAGACTGCAGTCCACAGCACAAGCAAAAGCTATGGTGTAAATTGCTCCATGCTGTCAAGTACTTTTGGTAATAGTTGAGCATCCTACTAAATTATTCTTATTTTTTTAATATGCTCAATGATAAGACAGTATGAGTAAGTAGTTAGKKTTTTTTTTTTTTTTTTTTTTTTTTTTTTTTWWAGAAAAGATAACCAAAAGATTTTGTTTGTGTTTTTGTTGAGATAGTCAACGCCATTCTCCAGTGCTCTCAAATGGGTTTTGCGATGGCTGCTGCTTCTCGCCCATGCACTAGCAGAGCAGGTTGAGCCCTTGGAGCTCCTTGGGTACCTCAGCCCTTCTCCACGGGTCTGGCTGGCACATGGGGGTAGCACCAGCTCTGCCCCAGCTTTTCTTCATCCCAAAAGGGGAGACCTGTCCCGAAAAACTCCTTTTGAGCTCAGATTTTTGTCATTCCAAATGCACTACGTGAAAATTAGCAGTGACCCTGTAGGCATGGTCATAGCAGTTCTGCTGTGTTTCAGTGGCTGAAGAAAGTCCTCCAGCCTCATGTGCTGCTTCGAAYATTCAAGGCCTCAATCTGACAAACCATGTACAGGGAGTTTAACCGATCTCTTCTCAGATAATTAAAACTAAGCATATGCTTAAATTCCTTTCTAACCAGAATGGCAATTTTGCAATAGCACTATTGGCAATGGAGTTGGGCTGTGGGAATGTCAGTGACTTCTTTGAAGTAGTCAAACAAATTGTTTACAAGTTGGAAAGTAAATTAAAAGTACTTTGGCTGTATAACACATTCTTGCTTTATTACTAAGTGCTTGATTGGAAAATGCCACCCCACTGTGCGTCAGTCTCACTTTGAATGATGAAGCGTTTCTCCCTGTTATCTCCCTCCCATGATCCCRTTCCTCTTGTACAAAGTCTAAATTGTTCATACTTCATGAACCCTTAAGGCATAATGTTTATGGATCAAATATCCATATCTTGAGAATTAGCAATGAATTATTTATTGTTTATGAACCCATCTGTTTTTCCCTAACATCATGCAGATAGTTTGAATGTCTGAGAGGAAGCTGAAATGGCTCTAAGGCAATCCAGACATTAAATTAATGATGACGGTGAGCTCTCCTGTGCAAGCTAATGAAGGTCTGATTCTAAAATATTTATTTGTTAAAAGATTAATAAGTATTTAACAAATAACTTATTTTAAAGTTTAGCTCAAACAGCTGGTTGAGATATGATGCTTTATACATTCTCTACCAAATTTTTTAATAGGAAATGCCTATTCCTACAAATAGGAAATCTCTGCTTTCTAGGCAATATTTAAAACTCTGTCTAAAACTGCATAGACATTTAGACACCTTGACTAGATCTATCTGATAAATTGGACATTTTTTAAAAATTTTCACAGTAAATATAGATGCAATTGAATTAAAAATTTCTTCAACAATTCAGAACAGAAAGTGTCACAGCATTTTAAAGTAYTTTTCTCTCCTCGGGGCAATGAGCAACCTCATAAAAATGAGATGGAGAAGTTCAGTACGGCAATGCTTCAACCCGAATGATGGTAAAACTGGGTATCTTCGCCTAACATTATCCTGTTCGTTACCCAGATTCTTTCCTACTGTCCATCTATGGGCTGTATCCTTGTATGAACGTGTCACAGAGACGTTTAGGATAACTAAAAGCAGGGGGACGGGTAAGCCCACCACCCAGTAGACCGTATGGTTGAGCAAAGGGAGCGGAGTAGCCCAACCATGCGAGGCTGACTTGATGCTACCAGTGGGTGTCACTACAGACCGTGCTTTCAAGACCCATTGCAAGCCTGGCATTTGCAGGATCAATGGAAAGGGATTTTGGAGAAGCATAAATTACAGTTTGTTTCACCTGTGTATATTTTACTGCGTTTCTAAACAGGCCGTGAAGCGGTTTTTGAAACAGGAGTGCAAATGTCACGGTGTGAGTGGATCATGCACTCTAAGGACCTGTTGGCTGGCCATGGCAGACTTTAGGAAAACAGGAGATTATCTGTGGAAGAAATACAATGGAGCCATTCAGGTGGTCATGAATCAAGATGGCACTGGTTTCACTGTGGCTAATAAGAAATTTAAGAAGCCAACTAAGAATGACCTGGTATACTTTGAAAGCTCTCCAGACTACTGTATCAGGGACAGGGATGTAGGTAAGCCTCTATCATTACACATGGTTTTATTTCAGACATTTGTACTTTGAAGGTCAAAAATGATCGTTGATTGAGTTTATATATATGAAATCCATGCGTATAATCAGGAGACAGGAGGCCAGATTTCCTGGAAGGACAACTCTGCACAAGAATAGTATCTCCTTGATGTCTCTAGATGTATGACAGCCTGTTGTTCTAATGTAAATTTGGCAAGTTCTTCAAGGCCCTGTTGGGCCATAGCGTGGGAACACTGTCAGAGAGACTCTGCAAGGCTGACGCTGCTTTAGGAGAGGTTTGAACTAGGTCCAGCCCAGAGATGGCCACACACACACTTGTATCACTCACAGTACCCCAAAACTAATGGGTGTGACYACAGTAGACTGAAGTCCAGGGTGTTCCTATCACGCTGCCTTCACTTAACACTTCTTCTCTTCCATGCTATTGTTCTAAGTGCCTGAGGCAAGAGTGGGCTGGTGTCCTTCATTTGCACATCCCCACATTTGCTCCCTGGGGTCCTCCTGGGGAGGATGCCCCTCTCCCACAGGTGATACAAGAGGTTCGACAGCTTGATGTGAATCAGCCTCGCACCAGCCCACRAAATCACCAGGGTCAGTGGGACACAGCATGTCCCATCAAATGACAGATCTTTTTGGACAATGTTGGCTTGGTCCATGATAACTCTCCCTTTTCCTGAAGAGTTTTGCCAGCCCCAGTGGGACAAGATAAACTTTCAGGGCTGCTGTTAGCACTCATTTTTCTTCTGCTTACAGAGATGTTGGTAGTTGCACACTTAGCAATGTTATGGGGCTCAAGGCATTGCCAAGCAACACTAACCATACGAACAGCTCTTGACCAGTCTATAGTGCTTCCTGATGTGGCAATTAAAAACTAAGCAACTGAAAAAACAGAAATTTGTAAAAGAGAGCCAGAGAGAGTAATGTATGAAAGATGTTGTGGAACTAATTAATACGTTGTATAACATACCAGAGTGCAACTCATATGACATATCCATAAGCATCTGGATAGCTATGCAGCTCAGCTCTTTTTGGCCCCACCACATATTTACAATCCAAGTTCCCTTGGAATAAACATTGCAAAACAACTGTATTCAAATAAGAACAATATGTGAAATCTTGGTCATGTACTGTTGACTTCAGTGAACTCAGAATTTCCTCCATTGCACTTATAGTGTATACTAGTTCTAGCTACTTAAGTGGGGAAGGTGATTTGTGGTAAAGGTGATGGCTTTTGCAGGTGATGCCTATTATCTGTACAAAAACATACTGTTTTTAGAACAGTGACTAATAACGTAATGTCTAATGTTTCAAAATAAATTCTAATATTTTAATCCGAGTGAGTAAATGGGCGTATAGTGCTATTGTGCAGAGACTGATTTTGCAGACTAGGATTTATTCAAAATTTTATTTCTTGACGTTGCTTCCTTCATTGTGAAATCTGCTTGTTTTTCCACCTAAAAGGGGAGCCAGCCTACAGCCCAATGTATGCTCAAAAAGCCAGTTAATAAGGTCTTTGTAGTGAGCCTAATCTAATACGGCAGACTCGTTATCTTCGAGGAGATTGGGCATTTTCACTGCAGTCCATTATCTTCACTTGCCCGACTCCATCAAGGCTGCCCGGAGAATGTGGAGCCTGACATATGCTTTCGTTCAGCTCCAGATAACACTTTAGATGATGGGTTTCTTGCTGTTCTAGAATTCTGAGAATGTATTTGTTTTGAAGAGTAAATTTTTTGGAAAGAAGTAGTAAATCTTAAATGGGATAAGGGATCATTCCATGCTTATTCTAATGAAGCAGGAAAAGAATCAGATAAACAAAAATTGCTCTGACTTTCACGGAGATGATACCAGCAGCTGAGCAGAGATTTTTCTTTATCCATTTTATTTTTCCCTGTGGCCCGCTCCAGAGTGTTAGCCATGAGAAAACCAATGCTGAATTTGGAAAAGCATGGACAGCATCCCAGTGCCAGCTAAATATAATACCTCAGTACTTCACGGGGCCCTCAGATATTGCTCTTTCAGGGAATTCAGGTGCTTTAGTCCTTGAGCAAAGCAGTACATCTAGCAACTGTGTTGGGGTTGAACAAAAGATTCCCAGAGCAAATTTTAWTGCGACTGGATAAAGTGTTACGACTGCAGCGGGAAGCAGCTTCACAGGCTGTCAAATGATAAAGACTGTGTCCTCTGTGGCTCGCACGTGTTACCACTTGTCCATCGGGAAATTAAAGGTGCACAGGAATTTTATCATCAGTGGCCTGTCCATGGAAGCGGGTGTCAGCGGCGCGGGCCGCCTCCGTGCTGCCTTTCCTCTCCTGCAATGGGCAGGTTGGGGAGGTGACGACCCCGGGTGTTTTGTTACTTTTGTTCCTAGAAAGGAGTCACTTTCAGAAGTTATAGAGTATGTTGAAAATGCCAATAGCAACATGCTTAATAGCAGGTGAATGTAATAACCAGCCTCTTGTTTGCTATTAATGTTTCACAACTTTTAAAGAAGAGTCAAAGGAAGGTTTTCAGAAGTGTTCAACATTCACTTATTTTTGCTCACCTTCAGCTAAATTAATATTTACTTGCAAATTTTACTCATAATTCAACAGAAAATGAGTTAGGATACCTAAGATCCTTTTTAAAATCTTGTCAAGAGCTTTCCCAACTTTGACACATTGCACAGTCTTCTGTTATCATAAACTGGCAGCTGCTGAGTAGAAGTACACCCAGGAGAGACCTTAGTGGGAATGATAATGACATGAAGGGAAACATAAAGTGAAGGTTSTGCAAATCACAATCTAGATGCACAACGTACCATCTTGCCCTGAATATTTAGCTTCACTGTTCTGAACAAAAATCTGCATTGTCTGCTTATAAGCTTCTGCTAGAACCATTCACATTTCTACAACATGTGCTGTTTTACCACCCATTCAGGGTAGGCTGATTGAAAAGTGTTGCAAGTTTATCACATTTTCAACAGGCCAGCGGAAGAGCGGAGATTGCTTCAAGAATTACATGTACCCGTTTTTATGGTGATGTAGTGAACATATTAGCAATTTACTGGCAGCTTGTTCTAGTCCGTAGCCTGTGGAGTCTKTTTAAGCAGAGGAATATGTTCCTGCCAAACGGGGAGAAGAAAGGCCTCTTGGCGAAGCAGGGCGCTGAGGTGCTGGGGGGGCAGGACAGCTCCCCGGTGAGGACATGGGGCTATCTGCCCCTGTTCTGGTGGCAACCAGGCTTCAGCTGCGTGAAGCTCTTGGTGGAAGGAGTGTTGCTAGGCCCAGGGCGATTCGCCAGGGTGTGTTTGTGTACTGATGATCTCAAGCTGCTGCAATAGTCTCCAAAGGCCTCCTGCAAACCAGTGTCCCTCCAGCTACCCTTGGTTATGTGCTGGTTTCTCAGCTCTGGTTCCAGGTTTGGTGCTCCCCAAACTGGCTTTGCTGCCTCTCCCTGCAAGAGCAGTGGAAGCTACTGCAGTGGCTGCAGCCCTCAGGCAGGGAGACAGATACATGGGCAAGATGCTCTAGCTGTATTTGAGGAATCACCACATCCATTCACCCCGGCTCCAGGTGCTGCAGATACGTAYGTAGCTGAGGGAGCGCTGTGCTGCTATGGATGCCTCCCCATGGAGCATCTGTGCCGGTGTGCCCAGTGCCAGGGGACTTGCCCGGGGCTCTCCACTGGGTTATCTGCACGTTGCTTGCTTTGCCTCATTGCCCTTCACAAGCAACTCACTRCATTTCTGAGATCCATGTGTCCCAGCTGGGAGGGAAAGAAAAACGTGACAGTAAAGAATAGCCTGTGACACGTTGGTGTTAGGCAAGATGTGTTAGTAGTTRAGTATGTAACCTGTGGAGGCAAACCAATTCTGATCTATGTCAAAAACTTTTCACTGAAGTTAGCCATCTACAAGCGGTCCCTGTGTGACTACTTGGCCTCTGTCTCCCAATTTACACATYGAAAACATATTGGGTGAAGTCCCAGCCCTGTAAAAGCTGACGGTACAACTTCCAATGACTTCAATGAGGGCAGGAGCCGATCCCCGAAGAGCTGAGGAAATGCTTGCTATCCTTCAAGCACATTTCAGAACAAGCTCTGGCTACAAAGCAGCATTATCATTCAGAGAGCCTCTTGGATCTTAGACATTGTGACAGCTATTAGTGGCTACGAAAATTTGTTAGACACATGTTTACTGTAAACAGAGTAGGAGCAAACTTCTTCTATCAGCACATTTCATCAGACAGAAGTCTCTTCATTGCTGGCCTGCAAAATCCCAGCTCTTCCAGACAAGGCTGCATTTTGCAGGCACTGTTGCTTTCCTCAAGTCCTGTTGTTTTCTGCATTATTTGTGGGTTGCATGTGGATATTGCTGGATTTAAAAAGTAGCTTCAGAGCTATTTGCCTTGTCAAACTGCATGTGTGGCAACTAATTTATTGTTGCTGGGGTTTTGCATTTCAGAATCTGTTTTCAAGTGAATGCCAAGTAATGAGGTCTGTTGCTTGAAGTCAGATTTTAAATCAATAGAAATAGAAGGAAAAATCTCATATTATACATAAGGAGTGAATTCATTTCGGTGCTTTGGGAATGGGAAAAAATAATTTTGACCTTTCAATATGTTTTGCTCAAGTAAATAGTATGGGCAAACAAGAAGAAAAGGTTTGATGCACAGACTGTAAGGCTGCACAGCCTTGTGTAAGGCTGGCAGTGCTAAAAGCTGTAGATATATTGGTGGGTAAAATGTTATGCATTTGCATGGCAATTCCAAAACTTGAACTAAAAGCAAAGGGAGTGTCTGAAAAGTTTTGACTAGTAACAACATATTCCTGCCTCTTAGGAATAATGTGACTAGGAGGCTTGTTATATAGAGCAGAAAAAAAAAAGCAGAAAAAATATGCCTTATTTTGTTTATTTTCTTCCATTGTCATCAGCAATGATAAGGCATGATAAGGCATGATGACAGTGATTTTCTTTCATTGTCATCACCTTAGGATCCAAATACCTTRCGGAGTGCAGCAATTTCTGGGTCTGATCTTTGTCAGGTGTTGTTCATTTTGTTTCACATGAAGGTGAAGGGTTTGGGTGTAGTAGTTTGGCTTAGTTTGCTATGGCTTTTGAGGCAAGTYGAGTACATGTGTTAAACATCACTATGGAGTTTGCAAAGTTTTCTCATTCCAGGTTCCCAGGTCTGCAACACACATACCAGATCCTGGTCAGGTCCTGGTCCTCCCTAGCCTAGAAGAAGCACCAGCTCCCTGCAGTGGAGCTCATCACGGCTGTGCTGTAGAGTCAGTGCCCAGACACAGCCCTGAGCCCTTGGAGCAACKCAAGCTCCTTGATGACAATGATGACTGCAAAACCACAGAATAGGTGCCTGTGCATCAAGGAACATCCAAGCTTAATCTCACTTGCATCCTGTTTCAGGAGTCTGGGGTCTTGAAGCTCCCCTGAGGCAGGAGTGGAGGCAATGGTTATTTTTGAGTGAGACTAGCTGCATGCTTCTAACCGGGCCCAGAACTCAGGACAAGAGGCAGAGATGCTGAAGATGCTGTTTGAATTTTTCAAAAGTTTTGCTTTTGATCAKAAACTAAATGGGAGTGCCTTTTCCCTTTAGCCACATTCCATGGGTAATTTACTCTCCTCACCTAGTGCAACAGTAAATGCTGCTCTTATATGGTGGGCAATATCCTATGATCTGACTTTGTTAGAGGATGAAATCCTTTCTTTAGAAGTCAGTGACAAAATTCCCAATGAAGTCAGTCATGCCAGGATTTCACCTATGCTCTTCCATTCATGCTCTCTTTTGCTGCTGCATATTTTCCCCAAACATCTGGAAATCAGAACTTGCAAGCTGGGAAACAACCTATGTCTAAGTTAAGGAATGCTGCTATACCTGCCCAAGAAAGCTCCTGCACCTAATCACAGCAATTTGCAATGAACAGGGTCTGACCTTAGGTAAGGGCTGAAGGAAGGTTTTTCCTTCCATATCGAGGAAGCAAACAACGTAAGCCTCTCTCTGCTCAAGAGGCAAATTGAGATGAGCAGTTGCTTTGCTTGTTTGCCTCTGAAAGCGTGATACCTGGCTGACAGCTGCGTGACTGTGGCGCGGTGAAAGCTATCAAGTATCCAGCTCGTTTCACATGAATCACAGGCAGAAAGCAAAACATCAAGCAATCTGAAACCCCCTCCAGATCATGGTTGTTATAGATGATTGTCCTCGACATGCTGATTATGCATATCCATACAAGCATATCCAGGACCGTGTTGAGGGGCCSCATCAGCATGCACGTAGGGCAAGGAGAAGAGCAGAAGGGGAGCTGCATGATAGGAGCGAGGGGAAACCTGTGCAGGGATATAAGCAGGGATTCATAGCAAACGCTTATCGCAGAAAATCAATCAATCATTAATCATTTCCCTCACAAGCTTGTCAGGTTTTTGTCTGAGCAGCAGTTATTCAATGAATGCATTTACCCAATCTGGGATGTGATAGATATTTGTGTGCTGACACAAACACAGACACATTGCTGAGATGCTGGATCTTGGCACGTATTTAGAAGATGATGGTAGCCTAGAAGTGAGTTTGACAGGTTTCCTGCCATGGGTTTCCTATGTGAGTCCAGGGGAGCTGTGTGGCTCCCCTACATCTTTCTGAGTCCTTCATCCTGCCTCAGCTGTTGGCCCCCAGAAGTCACTTCCCTCCATGCAGGGAGAGGCGTGACAGCCAAGGGACAGCTATCAGAAAGGGGGCCAGATAGGCACGAAGGACAGAGGGAGCACAAGGGGGATTAGGCAGCTCTCTGCCTTGCAGCACCTCACCGGCATGGAAGGTGAGGAGCAGGGAAGGTGAGGAGCAGGGAAGGGGAAGCGGCTCCCGTTCTGCTTCCATCACTGCCCCTCCGGCTGTGCTGGCTGCAGCGGTGCCTGCCCTGACCCCCTTCACCCTTCGCCCACCCCACCAGGGCCAGTTTCACTGTTCCAGCCCGGCGGGGAGGGCTGTGTGGCCAGGGGGAGCCTAAGAAGGGCACTGTGTGTCCAGGCATGCCTGCATCTCCTTTGGGTCATGGACTGTGGGGAAAGGGAGAGCTATTGCAGTTTCCCTGAGGTTTTCCTGATGCAGCACAGCACCATTTTTCCCCTTAAAGGTTAGTGTTCCCTCAAACAGCAGAGGCTTTGCCTTAAACCACTGTTCAGCTGCCTCCCCACAGGGCTGGGAATGGTGCAGATGGGAAGAGTGGGACTGGGGATGGCAGAGCAGCCTTAGGAAAGATGGAGTGTCCTGAACCACARGCTGCTCAGTGGGCAGTGTCCTCACGGTGCTGATTCTCCTCTGTATCCGTGGATAAGGAAGGCAAGCCCCATGAACTGGCCCAGGGCTGGGCATCCTGAGCGGAAATAGGTTTTGGGTGGCTGGAGATGCAGGAGCCTGTCTCGGGGCTCATCTGAGGGCCATCCCCTGGCCCCCTGCCACCTTCCCCCATTCAGGCAGCTCATGACATCCGGCACCGCAGGACCTGCAGGCCCTGGAAGTGAAGCGGCACCAGGCTGGGGTCTCCTCCTGTCCGCAGCAGCGGGATGAGAGGCCTGGAAACGCCAGCAGAGCAGCTCAGGGCGCAGGCCGGGGCAGTGGCCACTCAGAGCCGCGCTCCTGTGGTGGGCACGGCAGACCCAGCCCATGGAGGCCACGTGCCTGGAGCTGGGCGAGCTGCAGAGGGCCCTCTGTGGAGAACTGCGGCCTGCTCCAAGCTCCTGCAGAGAGCAGGAGCCCTCACAGAGAGGAAGGGAAGCCCTGGAGCTTCTCTAGTACAGGGSGTGCAGCCACGAAGCAGGGCACCCTCTGAGGCACTGAGAGACTGTTGAAGGAAGACCTGGAGCTGAAGTGTTCAGCGTGCCCTCTGGCCAGGGAATGCTGCAATAACCTGGAGCGGAGCCTACGGGAGGGGTGACAGGGATGTCTCCTGCTCTGGGGCATCAGCTGAAGTCTGTGCTGACCTGACACATCAAGAACAAAATCCCACACGCCTCGTTTAGGAGCCTCAAGGGCATGAAATCTCACCGGTGCTGGGGACGGAATGTCAAACACTCGAATACTTACGTGGTGTGAAGGGCCTGATACCACAGTGGGGCTTACGCAACCGTAAGCACACGGTAGAAAAAAAATAGCAATGAGTTTAGATTTTATTAATTACAGATATCCTGTTTTCTGCAATTTTGAGTTTGTTTGCAGGCAGTGTATTCTTTACGAAGGTAAATTTGGCTTCATGTTTTATGTCCACCCATGAAATAACCGTAACGTCCCATTAACAATAAAGAATAACAAAATCAAGCAAATATACTTCCTAAAATATTCCAAATTAACTTATTATCCATGGCCAATATTTGGAGACCTCTATCTTGCCAAAACCACAAGAATATACTTTTAAGTGGGACTAGGAAAAACGTTAAAAGAATATTCATGTCATGGGTGAATCTGAAATTGTATTATAATATCAGTAAGAAATGAGATAGATTAAGGAACAAATATAATGAGGTTTTCAGGTGGATAATACTCAGTCCATAGAGTATAGAGGCTAAAGTGCAGCCTAAGCTAACTTAGATGAACTCTAATTAGRTGAACTCGTGTATGATACAGTAGCTGTTCAGACATGTATTGAAAGCCAGTGTTTGTTGCAAGTGTGGTAATAGTGGTAGGGAGGATCACAGCAAACCAGAGGGACGGTCTTAATTTATGTGACAAAGTACTTTTCTCCATTAGGTGGTACCAATAGGATCCACATTCAAGAAAGTGAGATGCTTTGATTTGAATCAAACAAAATAATCTCCTTTCCCAGGGAAAATGGAAAAATAAAATAAAATTTTWAAAAAAGATTTTTTAAATCTTTTATTTGAGGAGGGAGGGGAATCTTGCAAAAATAGTTTGTGTCCAGCAAAACATCTCAAATRAAATTCTCCCTACCTGAAGGCAGTAGGTGGTAAGAGGACCATTTGAGACAGTAAAGCTGCATAAGCCCTGGAAGAGACACATCCTGCTTATTTCCTTAGAGCCTTGAAGCATTTTGCAAATTTATTACTCTTCTTCTCACCCAAAAGTGCCTTCCAGGAGACAGGCTGTCCAGAAATTTAMGTTCTTGTAGCCATTTCTTTTGGTTTGACATTTAATCCCAAGTGATGTAATGCTAGCTCATCATGTACATTGCAAATCATGTTTCCTGTACTTATTTTTCACATGTTTTCTGCTATTCCTTGACCTCCATCCACTGCTTTCTTAACAGGTCTTTCCTGTGTTTCTTTGTAGGCTCTCTAGGGACAGCGGGCCGCGTTTGCAACCAGAGCTCGCGTGGCATGGACAGCTGCGAAGTGATGTGCTGCGGCAGGGGCTATGACACATCGCGGGTCAGCAGGATGACAAAGTGCGAGTGCAAATTCCACTGGTGCTGTGCCGTGCGCTGCCAGGACTGCCTGGAGGTGGTGGACATTCACACCTGCAAGGCCCCCAAGAGCGCTGGGTGGATCTCCCGGACATGACGCTTGGGTGCTGGCACTCAAGGACGGCAACATTCGCCCTTGCTGCTCCACGCAGGGATTGCTTCAAGGCATTTGCTACTTTTGTGCAAGGTTTGCCTTTGCCTTTCCTTGCAAAGAAGTTGCTCGGTAATTCCTATAAACTCTACAGCGGCGCGTTCGCATTTCTACATGACAAGGTGGTTGCCCAAAGGTCTGGGTGCAAACTCATGTAACTCTGGATGGACCTTCTGCTGCCAGGACTTGGTAAGCTCGCGTGCAGCTGGCCTCTGGAGAGCAGTGAGCCGGGTCGCTCGGGAGATCAGAAGCACAGCGAGATTCCAAGGGGGAGCAAAATGCTCACGTGGGACCGATGATGCCTGCCCAGGACATGGTTTGTAAAGGCTTCCCATGAAGGACCTTGTGCTGGTCACGGCCACGCCTGGGCGCCGCCTTACCTGGGCTATGAGTCTGAACACTGGTTGGTGATTCCTCCCCAAAGGCCAGTCCGATGCTGGGGAGCGCAAAGGGCTTTTCCAGTGGGGAATAATCTGCTGCGTTGGGAGGCCGCGCTGGGCCGGGCTGGCTGCCCCCTGAGCACCGTCCCAGGCAGCTGCCCCCGTCGAGGACACGCGTGTCACGTCCCCTGCGCGTGCTGAGCGTGCTGCAGATCTGCTTTAGACAGAACCGGCCACGGGGACCAGCCAAGGAAACAGCAAGAAAGGCACTCAAACTCCAAACACCGCATTTTCCTTTACTGTTAAAGATCTGAAGCAAATGTCTTAGTTATATTGCTGTGAGAACTTGCCATAAAAGCTTTTAAGAGACCATTAAAATTAGACACTGATCTTCATTTTTTTTTTTTATATCTGAAGAATTGAAAAAGGGAGATCTGTTTCGCAGGCTGATGACTGCYGGATATAGGACACTGCACTACCTGGATAGAATTTTGTATTTTCCACTTACTGAATAAATGCAAAACCATTTGCAGGAAGCTCATTGAGAAAGAAACACTTTGTCTCTATAATAATCTGCTTTCTTTCCAAAGGATCTATTGACATCTCTGTTCTTTTAGGTTGAGTAAATGAATTAAGTGTATCTAAGATGATGCTTTCTGTTCAGAAGCGGACATCCAAATCTGATTTTCTACTAATACATGCTGCAAAATATTTAAGGCTGTGATTAAGAGTATACTGACCCTTGGTTGAGGCAGTTACAAGGTGAGCCAGGTCTCTGCTCTGAGCTTGGCCTTGAATCAGCTTAAAACACCCAAGTGCTGGAAATACGTGCACGCCCACGAGGCCCAGAAGTTGCAGCCTCTTTGGAGAGAGATTGGGGAGCTACAGCAGCCTGAGAGCAGCTATTTCTCCCAGAAGCAGGGACCAGCAAATGTCTTGGCAGGACCAAAAACAAGAGCTCTGCCAAAAAGTTGGCTATGACAGCCCCTGACAGGCTACGGAAAAACACCCATGAGGATGCAAGGAAGGCTGTGCAATAAAATACAGCCCGGGGAAAAAGGTGGTTGAACAGGTGACAGAAAATGTCTTGGATAGTTGAAAAAATTCTGTATGACAATGGAAAAGACCAGAGGTGCTTTAATGTGCAGAAACAGCACGCAAAAAAGTAATATGCAAGTAGCATACCATGAAAATAAAGTTAGGTTAGTATTCCAATGTGTTTTATCTCAAAGTATTGAAAGAAAATGCTTGTTTGCATTCAAAAAATCAGTCATTTAAATCTGAAATACTCTAAAAAAACATATCTGTAGCATTAAAATAGGTAAGTCATCTCCAGAAGGCAGAGTTGATGATGAGAGAGTAGGATGGTACAGGAAGGCATTTATTTAGATAACTTTTAGTTACAGAATAGAGCATCACTGTAATGGCCATAGCTAGCAGGCCTGCTGTCGTGCTTCTGGGCATAAACAACYGCTGGCACGAAAAGCTCTGTCGTTAGGTTAGTCTGCAGTGTGTGCATCACACACACACACAAATATATGTGCACACACTCAGGTTCAGTGGTTGTGCTATTGGCTTCGTTACTGGAAATTCTGGCTCTGGGCTGGATAAGCAAAAYTTCACACCTAATTGTTTTTAAGGTGAGCCCTAAGGAGGATTTTTATTAAAATTTCATTGTGAAATTAAATCCACATGTAGTTGCTGTCTGAACTAGGTCATGTTTTAAGCCTAAACTTAAAGAACTAAAAAGCAGTATAATATTTTATTTTATTGTTTGTGCTGGGTGTTTTGAAATGTTGAGAGAGTCCTTTGAATCAGAGTTTACAAGTTCATCATATAATAATGTCGACAATATTTCAAGCCTATGGAAAAAGGATGTGCCATTCTACAAGTAGAACTTGTTCTAGAGATTTAAATAAATGACAATGAAATCAGAAGTCAATCAATATGAAGTGCATCATTTGTAAAAACAGAAAACAAAAATATACCTGAATTCTACAGTTCCCTCTGTTAATGTTTTTGAGTCATTTTATTAAATGTGGAACTTCTATTCAGGCAGAAAAACACAGGCAGCACGGCATAAGACTGAAAAAGTCAYCCACCTTTACCTTACCTTACATTGTAAATTTTACCTATATAAGAATTGGTCTAGAAATAAGTTGTTTTCTGATGGAATACTACTGTAAATTGTCATTTTTCTGGTCTGAGACTCCTCTCTTTCAGTTTTGCCCGTTGCCTCCTGGCCTGCCCTGGGCACCACCGAGTCTGACTCTGCCTCCTTTGCCTTCGCCCGCGCCGCTCACAGAGGTGTTTATCCATGGAGAGCAGGAGCCCCTGGAGCCGCTTCTTCTCCAGGCCGAGCAGGCCCAGCTCTTGCAGCCTCTCCAGGCAGGGCAGATGCTCCCAGTCCCTAATGTCCTTCATGGCCCTTGGCTGCACATGCTCCAGGAGGCCCAAGGCCCATTGCTCCAGCCGTGGCCTCCCAAGTGCTGAGGTCAGGGCAAGGCTYCTCACCCTGCCAGTGCCGCTGCTCATGGTGCATCTTGAAGGCCACTTGCCACCATTGCCACCAGGATGTGTTGTCAAACTTCATGACATTCCCAGCTATCTGCTTCTTCAGCTCACTGGGGACATTCGGACAGGCAGGATGGGGGAGAGCAAGSGCTCCTCCCAAGGCCGTGCTGAGGGGTGCTCTGTGCCTTCATCCACAGTAGCCACAAAGATGGGAACCTGTCCTGGCCCCAGGAGCAACYCMTGSCTAACACTGCAGCTGGGGGCCTCCCGTTTCACTTTGTGCCACTGAGCACACACCCTTTGAGCCCAGCAGCTCAGCCCCTCTCCAATTCACCTCACTCTCCACCTCCATCACGTGCACTTCTTCCCGTYCTCYAGGAGGATGTTAGGGGAGACAGTGTTGAAAGCCTTGCAAAAGGCAAGATGAAAATCAACTACTGCTCTCCCCTTGACCACAGCATTAGTCACTTTATCATAGGAGGTTCTCAGGTTGCTCAAATGCCATTTTTCCCTCATAAATCCATACTGACTTTCCTCACTTGCCTTATTATCCTTMGTGTGCATGGTTCCAGGATGAGGCACTTTCTTTCCAGCAACCAGAGAGAGACGACTGACCTGGATCCTCCTCTTGCCCTTCCTGGAGACAGGAGGGACAGTTGCTCTCTTCCTGTTCTCAGGAACCCTCTAATTGTCATGACCTTTCAAGGATAATTAAGAATGGTTTGCAGTGACTTTGGCCAGTTCCATCAGYACTTGAGGATGCATCTCATCAGGACTCGGTGACTTGTGTCTGTCCAGTTTGTTTAAATATTCCCTAACCTGATCTTTCTCCACAGGGGATAAGTCTTCAGTGCTCCAGACTTGCTCTCTGGTCTCAATGATCTGGAATTCCTGAAGGTCGGTCTTACCAGTAAAGACTGAGAAGAAAGCACTGAGTATGTCAATCATTTCCATGTCTTCTGTCGCCAGGTCCTCTACCCCTTTCAGCAGTGGGTCCACATTCTCCCTAGGCTTTGGTTTGCTGCTGGTCTACTTACAGAATGCTTTCCTTCACATTCCTCTCCAGATTCAACCTGCYCCTTGTTCCCTGGTGATGTGAAGGATTTATCTTCTTGGTCCCCTAAAGCTGAAACAGAACCAGAACTTTTGTCTTCTGCAGCTCAAGTGTTTCTAGGGTCAGCAATATGGACAGGAGTATAGGACTGCTCAATAGGTTCAGTTTTACAGTCAGCACGAGCACATGTTGCTCCTAAGTTGTAGGAGGAACAATATAGATAAAAAAGAAGAAGAAAAAACAGTGTTTCTCCAGAAAAAACAGATTTTTTTTTTTATAGTGCAATGGCTGTGTGACCACCAGCTGAGCTGGTCAATTATCTTGTTATGTTTTTGCTGTATTCATATGAAAACAAGATGTTAGGGGTATGAGCATTTCTGCTGCATTTTCCATGAAGAAAGCAGTCTTTAGTTAGTAGGAAAAGTTAGTAGGAAAAGTAGGAAAGTTAGTAGGAAAGGCGTCTCTTGGACCTATGGCTMATTAGAAAGAAGAAACACAGAAATCAAGCAAGGCAAATTAAATCATTATTTATGCTTCTACATATTCATGTATGTATTCATGTTATTCTTCTACATATTCATGAAGAAGAAACAGCGCTCCCTAGCTAGACAATTTAATGTCAGAAATAGGTATTAGGTGAGACAAAAACTTGWAGGAACTTTTTGAAATATGCAATCCAATTTTCTTGAGGGAATTCCCTTTCCTTTTGGTGCATGAAATCAAAATTTAACAGCTCTCCAAAATGCTTCCAGCCAGCCAAATATCCTGGGACTATTCCCTCCTCAACATTTTAACAAACTTCGGAATTAAAAGTGTGTTGTGCTGTTTTAGCAAAAGACTCAAGGAAAGTGTGGGKTTTTTTTTTTTAACCTTATGGAAAAGAGGGAGCCTTTAAGAGCAAACACTTGCATGTTGAGTCATTTCTATGTTGCAGCTAGAGGAACTGCTGCACTTTTTCCCCCTATCACTGGCCCAAAATCGAACACCTAAATCCAGCGCATCTGACTGTCATCATCTCTATACAACTGTCCTTGATGGTTTTAATTAGAAATAGAATAATTAAATCACCTGTTTCTGGGGCTGCTGCTGCTGCAGTGCAACCAGGCAGACTCCAGGCTAGGAGCAATACTCCTGGCTTCTCACAAAGCACAGCAAACGCTGGCAAGGAGACAAGCACATCTCAGTATGGGTTAGCAAGAGGGAAGGGCATGTTTCAGACCTCGGGTTGAAAGCAGAGAAGGCGTCTGCCAGGGAAGAATTAGCAGCTCTCAATCTAGCATGGAGGCATGTGGCATCTTTTGCCAGCCCCGATGTGGAGTTCCCGAGGCCCGTGTGATGGCCACGCTGAACCTGCCGGCCTGTGGTTCACCCCATCCTCTTAGCAGGAGCCACTGCCTTCCTGAAGGCGATGCCCTTTCTGAGGGCAGGGGGCTTCGCGGACACCTCCCGCGGCTGCGGGCTCCTCCGGCCGCCTCAGACAAGCTCCTGCTGGCAGCCGAGCGGCAGCAGCGCTCCCTGCGCTGCCGGCACTAACACGGATCTTTTTGTACAACGGCTTATTGAGCTTTGTTATGTGATAGTGTTAGATCCTAACGGGAAATCTTCCTTTCCCCTTCTGATGGTGCCAGAGAGGTGGAAGTGCATGGGCTGCCACTGGATTTTCCTCCTTTGCTCCCTCAGTCCCTCTTGCAAAGCCAGTTCCCTGGGGAGGAGGGAAGCTGCAGGTGTCTCGTGTAAAGCCGAGCAGCAGTCAGGCTCAGGGCCCAGCCAGTGCCCCTCTGCTGTCTGCAGTGCAGAAAAGTTTTCCTGGTTTCCAGTGGGGTAAGGACTTCCTTGGCATCTGCTCAAAAATGTACCTGGCATTAACACCTAGCCCAAAGACGGAACCGCCAGAGTAACAAACAGCCTCCCTGTGTCACTCACCTCTTCCAGGAGGACTCGTCTTGGAGCAGCTGTAGATCCAACCTGGCCTGAGAGCCTGAAGGTGGCCAGCTTGGCCTAGCTGGCCGAGGGTTTCTCCTTTCTCTCATGTCTTGTTTTGTGCAGCTTACAATGTAAAGAGACACTGTGTATCAGCTTGAGAAAGGAATTATGACAATTTTGAGTTTAGAAGTCCCCTCTCCGTACACTTGCAAACTAAAAATCTGTAGGAACTACATTCTGAGCCAGATTTCCACAATGTTCATCTCCGTGTTTAGCCAGAGGCTTCTTATGATTATGATCCCGGGTTACATCTTCCTTTTGATCTACACGATACTTTGCAAGAAACATGTCAGAAGCACTCAAGCCTGAGGCAACCAACTCTGCCAAAGGGAAAGAAAACTCTTCTGCCTGACTTGCATAGTCTCACAGATGCCTAAAATTATAATTAAAACTGAGAAGATCTTCCTAGATAAAATCCGTAGCTCAAGAGAGTGTGTAAGAGACACTGACAGTACAAACGGTAGAAATAGAAGCACATATTTTAGTGTTGACTGTAGCAAAAGGGAAGGATCTGAGCTTTCCAAGGAGCTAAGCTTTTTTTTATTGGTTTTTCTTTTTCAGAAGGTGACAGATTATTTCAACACAGATAATAATTTATGTCATTTTGTCTTCTAACAGCAGCCTAATACAGTGCCTTAATTGTTGACAAGCACAGCCTGTTGTGCTTGTATGCTGGTATGCAAACACATTACGTACTAAGACTGTTAATTACAGCAGATTGTGGCAGATTTTGGCTATATCTACAGTAAAAGTGACAGTTTTTTGAGGCGGCTGGGAAGAAGGAACACAAAAGGATGTATGATCCGAGAGGTGAAGATGCCCCATCCTCCCAATCTTTCCAAGCCCTAAGTAATTCTGACAGCCCCCTTGTCAGGCAGACGAGCAGAATTACTCCTCGTTTTGCAGCTAGAGACATACAGGCACAGGGCTTTAAAGGTGATGCCTGGGGCTACAGCAATTCAGAGGCAAAGCTGGGAATATAAATATTGGTCCATTTCCCACTGCCACATGCTGTCTCTACCTGTAATCTTATGCCATATCCTGTGCAGTAAATGTAAGCCAGACTTAGTTCAAAAAATTGCTTTGCAGGGATAATGGCCAGAGATAATAAACCTGTCTGGAAATCCCTGCAGCGACCTCACTAGTTTTCCTATCTAGCCACGGGGCGCTCTGCTTTCCTGCCTTCTCCCCCAGGGCTCATCCCACCGACTGATTCCTCCTGCTGTGGAGGTGCCGGTTTTCTCCTAGYGCAGCAGAGGCTGCTTTAGTGCAGCACCCTACTCATTTCGGCAAAACCCTTTCTCTCTCCAGACACATCACAAGAACAAAAAAAATAAAATGATGCAACTCATCAATGCTGCTGTATAGAAATATTATCTTTTTGACACCAGCTCTGTCATATCCGCATTGATAAATAAACTTACCTCCTGATAACCACAGCCTCTCAGGCTAGATAGCACTTCTAAAACAATGGGAGAATCCTCCGATGTTACATATTTCAAAGTTCAGCTGGCAAAGCGGCATCTTCTTTCTGCTCTATCAATGCTACATTTGAGGGAAGAGTGGAAAAGAAAATCTCTGATGGGGTTATAGGGCTGTGGTTTCAGTTTTTGACAGTTAAGAACACTTGCTTCAACTTCCAGATCCAATTCCCCCTCTCAGCACTGGGTTCATCCATTGGCAGAAACATCTCTGCGAAGTCAAGTCTACAGTTCCCACCTACAGCAGCAAGACTAAAACTGAAGATGGTGTCTAAGTCTCTCAGATTTCCTGCTATAAGTCTGCTGACAAACCACCATGCTATTAACTGCGGAGCAACTAATCCCTGTTTTGTTAATGAACTTTTGGTCTAAAGCAACAAACGTTTTATAATGCTGATSATTTATCATTGGGAAAAAAATACGTGCTTCTTTGGACTTGAAAGGTATTAATAATTCAGTAAAAAAGGAGCAAGAAATACATAAAAGYATGAATGGAACTGCCACAGTTTAGAGATAAATTTGTGATCAATTCTCTGCCACTACCTATGCTGTGTTCTGTGAATGGCCACAGAGCTTCCGGAGTTACTTGAGACAGRGGAGTGAATAAAATCTGTAATGCCTGTGGACTGGTAGAAAATTCAAATAAGGATATAACTTAATTGCAGGGGGTGGGATCAGAAGCCCCGTGTACCATCCAAACCACCTAGGGAGCCCAAAGCTGCTCTAAGCAAGAGCCCAGAAACCCGGGCTGGACGGGGGTGGTGGGTCGCCCTCACGGCAGCGAGGCTGTTGCTTCGCACCGYGAAGCTGCTCGTGCCGCTTCGCTGGCCGAGCGCGAAGCCAAGCGCTGCTGCCGTGCCGCAGATCCASCAGGCACACGCTGAAGAACACAGAATACAACCACAGCTTTGAAGAAGAAGCCAAAAGACAGCAATGCTGCAATACACAAAAGTTTATTTTTAAGTTTTTTTTTCTTTTCTGAAGGCAAAATATAATAGAACCTAACATCAATGTATTTTGTACAACAAAACGGTTTTTATATGAGAACAGACAATCCATGAAGAGTTTTTAAGTCTTAGAACTGCTTCCCTTTTTTTTTATCATGCTTTCTTGTGGTCGCCAGCGCGTTGGCACGGAAGAGGTCATGGCAGTCAGGCAGCGCGCGCTCCCTCAGATCCTCGTCAGCTGGTGCCACAGACTAGAAGGCAGGATACTTTCAACCTTCTCCATCACAAAATTTAAAGGAGCAAAGAGGGTGCTGAGAAACTGCAAAGAAACCAGACACACACTCAGATCAGAATGCAGGAGATGCTGAGCCTCGAGAGAAAGCTGTCCAYAGGGCAAGGAACTTGCTGCATTCCTCCATGAAGTTCCCCGGCAGGACAAAAGTGAACTAATTAGTGCAYGAAGCCTTTCTGCCACATTCTGAGCCTTGCATATACCCAGATTTTTGGATTTTGTAGTTGCACAAGCAAGGGACCATTTCTGCAAAGATAAATGCAACGGACACTACACAGAAGCTTTCACACAATGCATTTGCTCAGTCCAGACTCCCTCCTGAAAGCTCAGCCTCAAAGCTGCCCTTGTCCCGAGGTGCAGCCAGACCATCCCTCAGAGACAAAATGTGTCTTCAGGTTCAGATTTAAAATGATCYGTGTTACCTACAGCGCTGCTCTGTGCACGGACAGCTCTGCTACCCTCCTCCTCCCACTGCAGAACAGAACCTGTCACACTGAAAGGAGTTTCAGTGTCCTAATGCTGCGACCGATGTATATTACAGAAGCAAATGAATACAGATCAGTTTACTGAAGGAAAAACAACCGTGTCAGCAGAGTGCCTAAGTACTCAGTCTACAGAATGTATTTAACCTCCTGTACGAACCCCATAACTGCGAGGGCTCTTCCCAGAGTGACGGGGAAGCCAGGCCTGTCCCCGGGTGCTGCGGGACATGGAGGGCTGCTCTGAGCCCAGGCGAAGCTGCTGAGACAGGGACCGTGTCCGAGCGCTCGCATCCCCAACCACCACCGGCGGCTTTGGCAGYGTGCGGCCTCTCCGTTTGACACGGACAGCTTCTTGCATAGAGCAAAAGGAGCAGCACCAGCAGCAGAGAAGAAAACAAGGTGGCAGAGTCGCTGATGGCAGAGCTGCGAAAAGTCTTCTGTATTTTAAAGGAAAGCTATTTAGCTTGGTTACTCCAAAGCCGGAAGAGAGCGGATTCCTGGGAGTACCTCTGAATATTGCTTTTTCATTAAACCAGATACTGAAAATGGATCTTTTCCAACTTTTCCACCACAAGGCTAGTACCTGCATGGAGGACCTGCTTATTTACTGCCCAGTCCCTCTGCGCTGCTCCATATGCCGGCTACCTCGGGCTCTGCAGACGCCCAAGCAGATGAAAGATGCCCCTGTAGAAACCTGCTTGTTGAACTAAGGCTCATCCACCACACAGGAAATACTGAAACGGACCATGGCAGTGATCTCACACATAGAAAGGTGGGAAATAAATCAGAGAAAAATCTGTCTTTAGTTTCACTCAYGTTAATAACTTTTTGTGTGATTTAACTAGGAATTACACTTTCAGACACACATAACTGTGGACCTGACAAAGGAAATACTCCTGTGTTAATGTGTCTCAGSTTTGTTTAAGGTATCTTCTTACTGCTACCAGGTTACCAGGTTACCGTATTTTTTAATAAATTTTAACTATTTACAGGATATTGTTACATTTCTGCATAACAAAACAAAACAAATTCTAACAAATTCTGTGCTGGCAATTTTATCTAAATCACTGCCATCAGAAATTGGTCCTGTCTGTGTTTGCACCCTGCGTGATCTCCACAAGCTTTTTGTAGCCCAGCAAAACGTGTAAGTGCCAGCCAGGGGAAGCTCTGCCCTGACCAGCAAAACCACTGATACCTGGTGGCATTTTGGAGTTACTTGTACACATGCTGATAAATCCATCAAACAGGTGATTTTGGATTACTCCAGTTTCTGTCGGGGAAAGGGAACGGCCGACGCCACAAGTTTCTGTGTGAGGGAGTCAGCTTTACTCGGCAACGCGGGCTAGATGTGATTGGGAAGAGTTGCACTTCCCACTGAACGGGCAGGGCTCAGAACAGGTTCTGGCTCTGAAAGACCCCTGCTCTCCTGAGGCTGGGCAAATTCCAGTGAATCTGTGCTGAACCTCCCAGAAAAGTAAAGTGATTAAATACACCTTTAATCTCAGACACAGAGAGCCCTGGGGGACTGTCACAGTGGCACAACCTGCCTCTGGCAACCTCACACACGGAGGGCTCCTCGGCATTCAAGGGCTTTTGCTGCTTCAAAGAGTCTTTTGCTGGCAGGATGCAGCACATCTGGGGTCTGAGGCCACCCCTGGAGCTGAAGCCCGGGCTCACCCTGTACTGTGATTCCGTAAGCCGGGAGCAATGGGAGGCCTGCAGGAATCACAGACTCCAAGGGCTGTTAATCCCTCCTCTGGGAGACCTTGTGAGCTGCCCCTKTTCTCTGATGCTGCTAATTCACTGCCTGTAGAAGGAGCTCTAAGAACAAAACCTCCTTGTGCTGCCAGCTTCAGGTCTTCTCTTTCGTTTGCAGCAAGGCAGGTACRGGGAAGACGGAGGGTCATTAACTACCACCATTAGGGAGCTGCAGGTTGCACTAGAAGAGCCTCCTAAGAATGGTCATGCATTTCAAGACTTAAAGAAAAAAGAAATCAGACAGGTTTTAACACTTTGCTATGACTGAAATGGCATCTTCTGCTGCAATTAATCTTATTTTCTGTTTTCTAGAGCTGAAGAAACAAAGTTGATACAAGAACTTCTGCTCTATCACACTTCTTACTCTGACCAGGCTGAGTGTTAGAAGACTTGGTTTCCTCCAAAGAGAGTCCCTTACCAGTTGTAAAGGAGTTTGAGAAAATCCCTGTGTTCTGGAATTTKCCATAGCCTTTCAGCCTTGCCTCTTCCACTCCTCCTCTACAAGCCCAATGAAAAGCACTGAAGAAATTGAATTATACTATTTCACTGGATTACCTATGGAAAAAATATTCCATTTCCCCCTCTCCTCACCTCATTCTTGGCAAAACCAGAGCAGTCAGACAGTAGCGTTTTAGTGCTTAGCTCCCTTCCCTTAATGGTTCTTCAATGGCCCCTTACTCAGAACAAGGTCTTTAGATGTTTTATACTTCTGAACAGGTATATACGAAGTCTAAGACCAGACAATATTTAGCTCAGCTCTGCTACATTTATGTCTTTATTTACCAAAGAGGAGCAGCAGGGAATACTCACAGCCTTCGCGAAGACCCCCATAAGCTCTGGGAACTGATGTGTCAGGAGGGCCAGCATGGCTGTGAAGGAACATAGCCCCGCAGTGAACAGGATGAAGAAGGGAAGTTCCTTYTTGGGGTAAACTGAAACTTCATGAAATGCTGTGGAAAAAGAAGAGGGGGAGAGAAGTTCATTGCATTTATAAAAATAATATTCTTACCTGGCTGACAATGCTTTTGAAACACACAGAAACACACTGAAGATCTGAATTACCTAAGGCTAACGGTATTGCTGTGCCAGGTACCTCCCTGTCAGCTTATTCTGACCTGAACTTCTCACTTCTGTCTTCCTCTGGTCCAACCCACTTGCTGCCCACAGGACCTCCTTGTGTCAGCCCCAGCCAMACTGCAGCTTGCAACAACCAGCCCCAGAAAACTGACCTACAAAGTGCCCAGTTCCACACGGAGTAGGGAGCCGCTTGCCAGGGCTGCCATGCCGAGGCGGGCAGCGGGAAGCAGTGGGAAGCAGCGGGAGAGCTGCCCTGTGGCAGGACCCTGCCTACAGGCTGCTGGATCAGGCTGCAGGGCCACACTGCTTGGACCAGGGAATTCCAGGAATGAATTCCGCAGAACTGAGAAAACCTACTCAGAAAGCACAGCATAGAAAGTGGTGCTTTAGATTCCTGAATTCCAGAATTCCCTGCATACTTATAACAATCTTTAATTMTTAAAGTTTAAAAAGCTGAATTTGAAATTAATAAAGAATTTTTCAAGATGTTTGCCAGCATAAACCATGAAGGGTATGGAAAGATCCTTCGCTCTGGTGCTCTGGAGGAAACAAAATCAAGAAGGCTAAAAGGGTCCAAAGACGATGATGAAGATGGAAATATCCCTTGTACTTTTATGGTAACTCTGAGTCAAAGGGAAAATTTTTCTGTGTTTGTACATRTTCTGGGCAACACGTATCTGCTTCATTTATTCAGTTCCTGGTCTGAAGCTACAGTCAAGATAAATGCAGGCTGAAACATTTTTTTATGATTCAGAACCAATCTTAAAGCTAAATTTCAGCTTTCCATATATTCAAATCCGTGATAATCTCTATATACAAATACTCTTCTTCCATTTTGCCTGCATTCTCTGCTGCAGTGAACAGGTCTCATCTGATCACACTCACAGAGATAACATTAGCACAGGGTAATGCAGCAGGACACCTGGCAGGACAGTATTCCTGACTGCATTCATCCTGAAAACAGCGGTTTCCAAATAAACAGTAAGAATATATAACTGTTTAAAATATTAAGAACAAAAAATAAATATGATTTTGGTTCTGTGAATTAGTTCAAGAAACTCTAAAAGGAAAAACGGACAATTTGCAACTTCTGTTTGATATAAATTCAGAGCTTTGGAATTGCTAAGATTTCTGGCATGCAGTTAGTTGCACTTACGTCTGACAAACCTATTGTTCTGGTTTATTACCGAGCCACAGCCAAAGTTTTGTGATTGCTATTTTTAATTAGGGCAGCCTTGGAGAGCTCAGTGCTCTGACCTCACTCCGGCTGACTCCTTCGGAGCCCGTGCTATGGAGGGTGTGGACAGGTATGCAAACCCCCTGCCTGCGACCTCCTTCTGTCACAGCAGGTTAAACCCTTCCCTCCTCAAACCCAGGAGATCTTGCAGCGAAGGCATTTCCCATAACAGCCAGAGCAAGCCCTGGCTATCTACGTATGCTGTTAAGGAGTCCCTTGCTTCGAACATTTGACAAGAACAATTAGTTTTGTGTCTAGAAAGGAGGGAGCTGACCTGCTCTGCATGACTTTGTCAGGCCTAAATCTCCTGACACTCCGCCCTCCCCAGCTCAGTATCCCTGGGAGGAAAGCAGGCAGAGCACTCTTAGAGGTGTTGTTATAATTAGAGTGATTATAATGGGGTGGGGGGATGCTGCGAGTTGCCAAGGATTTCCGTGTAATATGAGGGAGAATGCGCTGTGAAAGAGAGCCTCACAACGCGCGGATTTGTGCTGTGCTATTCTCACCTAATGTTTACCCACACAGGCTTATTAAAAGCAGCAACACATTTTTTAGCCCCACCTCACAAAGTCGGGAATGAGAGACTCCGAGGACTGCAAACACAAGCAAACCCAGCATTTGTGGCAGAAGCAGCCTGAGTTTTACTTTTTCCAGGTTCTAGATATGGATTTCTCTTTAATGCCTTTGCAGGACAGAGAGGGTGAGAGGGGCACCCACCTGGTCGCCCTGTGCTTGTCTTTCCTCTCCAACCTGACCCTGCAAGCCCCTCTACACATGCGTGCACTCTACACGTGCTCACACTAATTCCCACTGACATCGGTGAGGAGCCCTGTGGGAACCAAGTGTGGGTATTTGGAAGCCTGGCTGCTTTGGCTCTTCCTCTGCACTCCTGTGCTTTGCTGCACACGCTGCAGCCAGGCTCATCTGCTTCCACCGTGGGCCTCCCCAGCGCCGAATCTGCCCCTGTGCCCGGTCTCGTGAATGCTGGGACAAACTGCACACACGTGTGATAAACGACTGAGGGAGTTTCCCATCAGGCCCTCCATAGCAGCATACACATCGTTACATGAAGAAAAGCCTCCCCTGCTACTTAGGACTGCTTCTCAGGAAATGTTTGAGCCCCTTGGCACAACAGCTGGGCTAAGGACGCAGCGGTCGCATGCAGGCTTGATCTTGCCGTGGAATTTAAATAGCTGCTTTGCCTAAGTAAGACTGACAAGGTTGGGCAACTGTGCTTTTGCTTTGATGGGCTGTTATCCTAGATAAAGGATCAGACAAGCTTCCACTGTCTTGGCAGGAGCCAAGCAGCAAAATCTAACAGATTTATATTCCCTGAGTAATCGCTCTCTCCCCACACTGCTGACAGCAAAAAAGACAGCTAATCGTTATGAACTATGGCTAGAAGGGCCTCTAAACAAGCAAGTGAGCTCCAGAGACTCCCTGTCGGGTGATGATTCTCTAATCTGGTGCACCCAATTGAACAGGCATCATGGAGACCAGCACGGCARGCCTAAGGCAAACAATTATTTTATGTCAGCATTAAGAAAGAAGAGACCTGAACGTACATGGTAGTAGCTCTCTATCTGCAGTTTCTGTACAAATAGGGTAAGGGTAGAAAAGATGTCCTTTTTCCAGTGGATAGGGGATCATTCTGAAAGCTGTAAAGAAAAATAACACAGAACGTAAGTTACTGTGAGGGTGACGGCTACTGGAAATACTTACCCGTATTTACAATTTTGATAAACAATTACAGGTAAAGCACTAATATCAGAATATTTAGTTGCAAACAGTTAAGGTATAAGATACTTAATTAAACACCAAAACTCAAATCTACCCTTTAATCTAGAAAGTATTTATGTTTACTTTTACTCTTGGGAGTAGGCTCAGGAGTGTCAAGTGAGAGCAGTCTACATGTGCACACAGAAATGCCAGAGCTCAGGGTACTTACACCACATCGACAAGTTTGCACCTTTTGGCTTAGACTTTTAGGCTGAGGAATTTTTAGTTTACAGGAAAAGAAAAGCTGTGCCTGATGTTACAGGTGCAGCCTGAAAATACAACCAGCCCAGCTTATATATTTGGGCCAATGCCTGTAAACTGTATCGAGCATTATGGAAATTTGACATGGAAAAAATACTAAGCTACAGTGAGTTTCCCTTCTCACTCCAGCACCCCAGGTAACTGTGCGAGTCAGCACAGAGAACCAGTTCTCCAACACAGTCATGTTTTTGTTTTATATTTGGCAATCAAAGATTAATAATGAGTTATTAAACCCAGGTCCCTGCAATGCATTCTTTGAAAATGCAGCAGATSAAGTCAGGTTTCTGATATAAATCTTCAGGTCATGGATTAAACAATACTTAATCTTATGAATTTTTWAAAAAAATATATGTAATATTTAAACTGAAAATAATAACAGAGAGGGAGGGGAGTGGATTACTGCATCTGGGCTCTGCTGATGTCATAGGCCATCTGAGTTATGCTTCTATGGTTTATGGAAACATCAGAATACCTGACTGAATTATAGCTTTGCAATCAATGCATCCCTTTCCATTATCCTATATATTATTCTCCCCGTTAAAATGTCATCAAGATGTTATTCTCACTATTTCTATGAACATCAGTCACTGAAGCAATATTTTCCTTAACAGATGTCCTAGAAATATTGTATATTTTCAATATTGGGTACAGACCACCCCCACATGACAATACTTCATTATCTGTTGCTCAAAAGGCAAATGAGGAATTGTTTTAAAACCCCTATTCTCAGTTATTCACACGACTAACACAGTGCACAGTCCTGTGCAATTACATCAGTTTATTTTCAATTTCTATTTTTAAAACAACAAGGAARGCAGAAATCTGCCAAGCAGAATGAAAATCCGCCAGTGTTCAGCTAACACAGGGTATTTAYTCTCATAATTCATTACTATCTTAAAGCAAAAACATTACGTATTTAAGCTGAGTATGTGGAATGCAGCTATCTACACTACAGCTGTACCGTTCTAAGGTAAACTCTCTTTTCAAAGCATATATAAATCACTGGGACCTCTGCATAAGGGAAGAACCTGTTCTGGAGTGTGCTGAGGTAAATGTTATCAATTTTTTCACAGGTAGCAGTAATTTCTTTAACTCAGAAGAAATAATAAAACATTCTATGCTTTGGATCTTCAGAAATGAAAGACTGATAGTTCTAAGTGCTCATATGAAGAAAAACTACCCATGTTAGTTTCCCATACTGATTTTTATACAAGGAAATGTRTTATATTATTGAAACCATCCAAGACCTTCTGCAAAAGAACCTACAAACCTCTATATTCAACCCATCATTCAGAGGAAAATATCCAGCATATTGCAGCACATATATAGGAAACATTTCAGTCTGATCATCTTTAAGGGCAAAACAAGTTCTCTGTCAGGAAACAACGAACTGGAACCTGAACCACAACAGAGCAATATCTATGAGAAATGTATTTTGAAGAGTGTTATTTTCTCAAGGTTAAAAGCATGTCTGTCATGTACAGCACAACATCCCAAGTTTTCTACTTGCAAGATGCTTTATGAACACTTGATTAATTACATTCTGCATACGTTCTTCCTGGTAGCAGTGTCACGGGACAGCACAATGGTTCTGTCTGCTAGGCCTAATGCTGCCCCTTGGCCTTTTTATTGCCAGGTCTGGGAAGGCAGGAGCTTCATCCATGAGGAGCAGAGRGGTTGGCAGTGCCCTCCAGCCGGGAGCCGGGAATGCAAATGCCCGCAGTGCCGCAGGCTCTGGCTGCACAGGCAGCAACCCTGCTCTCCTCCCTTCTGCTGGGGGCCAGAGGCAGCTGAAGGCAGTGACCATCTCAYATTGCTCTCATCATCAAGTGGAGGAAACAGTCTCTGTTTTCCATCGGTTTTCTTCCTGCAGTTTAGTAAAGCTGCCCGGGCTTCAAACCTTTTGCAGTATTAAATCCCTCTTCTTCACAGTGCCCCCAAAAGTCAAGAACATCATCAGTAAGTTAAGCCTTGTTCAATCTTCATGTGCAACAAACTGTTTTTAACAAAAGTGTGTGTGGAGGGATGTTCAATGGTCATTATTTCAAAATCACTAACTGAAGTTTTTCCTCCAGATTTGGCTTAATATTAATATTTACACAGTCAATCTCTTCTGTTTCGTCCTAATTCACGGTAGTATAAATATTCTAAAAAAGCCCAGAAAGGGACAGTTACGGTGCTGCTTTTGTAAAGCAAGTAAAAAAGTGGCTGAATAGATGGTGCTGAATTTAAGCATGCCCATCTTGGACACACAACCGAATCTGGGTTTCATGGGGCAGAGCTATCAGCCATAGAAGACCAGGCTCTGTTGATGTCCATCAGTTTGGGTTTGTGCAGGTGCTCTTGTGCCTCACCCTTACCCTGTGGTCTGATCTGGTGCCACAGAAAGCAGGGCAGGTAGCAGAGTTCACTATTCAGCCCCGTGCTGGTGAACAGTACCGTAACATTTTCATCTTCATGCAAATGATGGGAARCATGATAAAATTTTAGAAATTAAGGCAGTGATGAACAAGCACATCAGACTCTTTCAGGCTTGGTTGTACTTGGAACTACAGGCTTTCCATACGAAGCAACTGGATCCAACCTCATAGAGTAACGTTTGACGCGGCCTCRCTTGGGCTCCTGAGCTGTGCCATGAACTGGGCTTTGACTGATAGAAACAAGAGAGAGCAGGAAACCACCCACATTCCAGTTTGATGATGGTCACTATTTTCATAACCTCACTTTTCTCAGCTGTTGAATACTATTTTGGAAAAACTCTTAAGTGTTTCAGAGTTAAAAAAATAACACAAGGCCATTCCTGCATAAATTTTCAGAGACTGCCTTAATTAGGAGTGACCTTATTCTCCCCAGAAGCATTCACGATGTACCCCCAAATGATTTCTCACTGAAATAGAGTACTTATTTCTGCCCAATTCCCACAAGGCTAGAATTGAATAGTATATATATGCACGTATTAACTTCCCATATACAAACTGCTAAAGGGAGGCTTGTGGGTATTTCAAGCACACTAACAGTACACTAAATTACAAGTACAGAAATACCTAGAAAGAAAATAAGAGCAACTGCCCACACACTGTAGACTKCTGGTAAAAACTGGAATTTGGTTAAATTTACTTCGTTCACCATTTTGCAACTGAGTTTAATTCAGTAARGTTATGATTACTGAGCTAAATCCTGGTGAGCCTATTCAAATACGTAGTTGTCTTCATATGTGAGAAAAATCTGCACAAAATGCTTGGGCCTGGTGCACAGTTCATCTCTCTCTGAAATTATTGTGCAAAACAAACTTTGGAATTTTATTTAGGGGTAATGCAACAATCATCCCTTATACTTTCACAGGCCTACATACAAATACGAACTAATAAAGGACACATGCAAAYGGCTGTGGAAGTATCACAGACAGGAATCAGTTAATAAAATAACTACTGACAGGGCAAGAGCAAATGGCCTCAAGTTGCACCACGGGAGGTTCAGGTTAGATATCATGAGAAATTTCTACACAGAAGGAGTGGTGAAGCACTGGCACAGGCTGCCCGGGGAAGTGGTGGAGTCACCGTCCCTGGCCACGTTCAGGAGACGTGGGGATGGGSCGCTTAGGGACGTGGTTTAGCAGGCAGGACGGTGAGGGGTTGGACGTAATGGTCTTGAAGGTCTTTTCCAACCATAATGATTCTATGAATGGAGTTAGATGGAAAAGCCATACATTGTCTTCAGACACAGGGGACTAGGCACCCAATTYGGTAGCAAGACTATAGGGCAGCTGGAATCTGCCAAAAACTTGTCTCTATAAATGGGCCCTTGAGAATTTCCCAGCCTGACAAAGCAAAAGCTGTATTCAGGATTCCCTGCAAATTACCACTCCATAATGATGGGATAACGAGGCCTTATACTAAAGGACTTTTACAAGCATCTGGAAGAGAAGAAACACTGCAGAGAGGCAAAGCTCTGAAATAAGGCACTGGTCAGAAACTATGACAAAGTAAATAGCAGCCTGGGAAAAATGAGAGGAAAACAGCATGTGGGTAGGACAGAGCAAAACAATGGAGCAGAGCAAATCCTCCATGGCAGTGGCATGGGCTACTGAGCAGGACATTCTGTACACCTAGAAGAAAAGCCATTGCTCCCTCTGGATGCCTGCACTGCCAACTGGGCAAGTTCAGGCCATTTAACACAGTGACTGGCACAGTAAGTCAAGTGACTTTCACAAACAGGTGCATTTCTGCAGGGAATACTGTGGTCACGAATTTTGTTTTTCCTAATAAACCTAAATTGCAGCTCTAAATGGATAAAAAAGTATAAAATACTTTTAAAAAGTGGTAGAAAAATAAACAAATGAGAAATGTGAAAGAGCAGAAGAAAGCAGAGCTGAAAAAAAAAGGGCTCTGGATAATGAATACAGAAAGAAAAATCTGTGTAGGCCACAATGGCCGATTCTAAATGCTGTTTCTTAATTCCCAGGAACGTGAGCAATTTAGGAACAAAGTTAGGCCAGTAGGCCAAGTTGCTTAGGGACTGGAGGGACCCTCCAAGCATGGAGGTCCCACAGACCTACAGCAACCTGTTCCAGTGCCTCTCATTGTGCAAACTTCTTTTTTCTTATGCCTAGAGGGAATTGTTCTTTTGAACTGGAGTCTGTTGCCCCTTCTTCTTCCACTGTGCACTTCTGAGGAGAGTCTGACTGCTTCCTACGTAAACTCCCTATCCAGGTGACTGAAGACAACACCTGTGCCCTCTCTCTCTCCCTCCTAAGAGTCTTTCTGGAAGAGAAGATTGGTTGAACAAGGCCAGCTCCCTCAGCCTCTCTCACACACCACACATTCCAGTCCCTAGGCATCCTAGCAGTTATCTGTTGGACTCACTCCAGTTTATGAATAGAAATGCCATAAAAACATGTTTTGGTTTATGATTTTAACTACATGTTAATATTTATCTGCTTTCTGGGCACTTTTATAGCTTCCAATAACAAAGCATTCAAATAATGACAAGCAAAACTCTGCAACTCTGCCACGAGGAAGGCAAATTATTATCCTCTCATTCAGGAGTAAGAAACAGAACACAAAGAAGATGGGAAATGTTGTTCAGTGTCCACTAGAAAACAGAGCTCAGAACCTTCTAAGTTTTTTCCCATTACATGAAGCCTGTATTTTTGGTTTCCATTTCAAATACTTCAGTACTGACAAGGGTATAGCTGAGCTCCAAAATTCACCAAAACCTACTATTTTCTTATGACATTCAATGGAAATACATGATTAGATCATTTGCAAGAAAGAGAATTACTTACTGCCTTCCCATGTACAGTGTAAGAGATTCAGTGCCCCCTCTACTCTTTTCCAGTGTTGAAGGTGAAAGAAAGCATAAGCTATCGCTTCACTGTCCCCTCTCTTCAGAATATGTTCAGGGGGCAGAATTAAGCTTTTCATTTCTAGTAGATACTGCAATAAAAAAAACAAAATACCATTATTTCAGAGGTAATAAAATACAAAAAAAAAAAAAGCTGCCTGCAATTCCATAATGCACAGTGAAAAGTCTATTTCCCTAAAGTGCTCTCATTCTTAAGTGTTTCATCAAATGTGTAACATCATCAGCTGCACTTGAAGATAATTACCAAATTATTCCCAAAGACTAAGATAAGCTGACAGATGGTTAATGCTGGGCTCCTCAGCACTACTAGGGGCACCAAGGAGAATTTCCAAATTGGATGTCTCTCTTGTCAAAGAGAAAGAAAAAAAAAAGGCTCAAAGCAGAAAGGAGATTCTAATTACAAGAGCTTTTTAATTAAAACTGTTTAAAATAAAATGAAGACCTTAAGCAGCTTGGTGCATATAGGCTTCCTATAAGAAAATATGCACACAGGTCACATTACTGCAATACTATCCATTACCTACTAGGTATATAAGCATGCCAAGGCTGGCAGGCATCAAAGTAGCTACCAATGAGTATATATATTTTTAGAAGTTTTGTTACTTCTTAATGAATGCTTTATGTCTCATGCAACACCTTTTCAAAAAAATAATCTGATGTTTAAATCAGCTTTTCAATAGTACAGAAATAGTATGAAAGTGGTAAGGACTAGTGGCTAAGCCCCCAAGCAGCTCTCCCAGTAACACACCCCCCATGGCAGAAGCCAAGTGAAAACTCACTACACAACATCAGGAGAGAGAGATCCTGAACATCATCCAAGCAAGCGATCTCCCCTCGGTTTCCACACTGTGAGCTAGACTGCTACCAACTCAACAGAAGTTAGTTATCTTATTACTGGTGCTACCTCACTTCAGTTGGTGGAGGGAAAAGATACAGATTTCCCTTTTTGGCACGCTTTGCAGGGAAAAGGAGGACAGAGAGATAATAGGCTGCTGAATCCACTGCTATTTGTTAGCTTCCTTCACACAGCATAACATTTCCCAGCTGTGCACTGACTTCCCTTCAACAGGATACAGAAAGAGTGCCTTTTCCTAGGATGTCCAAGAGCAAATGTTCTCCCTGCTAAACTACTTAATGCAACAGGTAACAGTAGGTTGACCATAACAGAAGGACAATTCGGCCTGCTTGGGTTGGATAATTACAAGGTAGTGATTCTATTGTCAGGAAAGAAGACATTATCCATAAGGGAGGATGACGAGATGGCTGCTTAGCCACCACGTCAAGGCATAAGGCCACAAAGCCCCCTGTGTAAAATCCTACAATATTTAGTGACAGGCTGGCTGCTTGGAAGAATTAAAACGCAGCAAACATGACAAAAGCACTGCAGGTATTATAAAAGACGAGCTCTGTTGTTAGCCAAGCTAAAGAAGATATGAAGGAAAGTTCAGGGCAGTCACCAGCCAAAGGCAGTAAGAAAGAACCCCACTGCTTCGGGTTTGGACCCAAAGAACAGGGCTGGGGAATCCAGGGACAGACAAGAACTGAGCGCTCCGACACGCTCACTGGAAGGCAACCTCGCCCCGAAGGCGCTGCCCTCCTGCTGCTCCTCACCCATGCAGTCTGATGCCCAGGCATGCGACGGGTCACACGCTGCTTCAGTGACACAGGGGACTGGAGAAAGCCCAAGTGGGAACARGTACAAGTTAATAAGGAAGAAGATGAGTAAAGGGAGGAGAACAAATAAATACATTTCTGAGGGGGAAAGGAAGAGGACAGAGAACAATGAGAATTAAGTAGGCGAATGCCATGAAGGGCAGCCTAGAATATTTTTCAGCCCTTTTATGCTTATGCTTTTGTCCGAAGAAGCCTGGAAGGAGCTAGACAATCAGAGAAACAATTTGAAGAAACCAAGTTCAAAGCAGAGAACCAACAAGACTAGGGAACTGGTAAGTCATTCAAAGAGGAAACAGAAATCATGCATGTTGCTGATGCACAGAATAGTATAAAAGGAGGGAAAGCTGAATTAGTACCATGAGTGCTCTGTGGGGCACCTACATTTTCTCAAACAGGTTTTAGAAACATCGGTGAGAGGTCTGGAGAAAAAAGATTAATGGAAGGATTGCAATTTATTTGGCAGGACAATCTGAGGCGGAAGTAAGAATGGCAGAAAGGATGGAATCAAGAGCTGACAAGATGGAGGGAACTGCCAATCTTACAGAGAAATAAGGGAAGATGCCTGCACGAGCTGCAGGTCACTCTTTTATTAATTTAGAGCATAACTTGTATCTTCATATTTTTTGAAAAGGTATGAAGATAAGTTCCCAATTCTACTAAAGGAGCAAAAAAGCTCCCAAATATTTTAATGAAAAAAAGAAAAAGCTAAGAATGTCCTTTTTCTAGGAGTATTAAGACTAAAATGTGTTATATGTACCTTGTTTCCTGCTAATGATTAAAAAGAAATCAAGTGGAAATATCTGACAGAAGGACATATCTCGACATTTGCAAAAAAATCTTGGTCCTCTCTCCCTTGTGATGATATCTACAGATACTTTCTCAGTCTGCATTTTTCTCAGTTTCAGGAATAAAAAGGTATTTGTAGAACTTCCTCAAATAATATTGCTCCTCCCTCACTCCTCTATCACAACTACTTTCCCAAACAAAATTGGTCCTCTGATCTGGTGCGGGCTCTTCGAGAAGGCCACACAAAGGTAATGGATGGCTTGAGTCCTGTTCAAGCCTCATGACAGTCCTTGTTTGGTGCACAGGGGTCGGGGTCTCTCTTGGGCCTAGAGCTGCCAGCTAATTCCTTCTGGAGGCACCGCCAGTGCACACAGGCCTGGAAAGCCCTTACGTGGCTCACACGCCGTGTGCGGCTCTCGCCATGCACGCTTGGGAACAAAAACCGCACACTGCACAAGTGCAGAAACAGATGGTCAAAGAAACAGGGGCCTGCTCTGTGACAGGAGGCCTAAAGGCCTCCATATGTTTAAGCTTTCTATGCAGGAGTAATGTTTACCAAAAGGGACCTAGACCTAGATAGCGCTTGATTATAATATGGAAAGGGAGTCATGGCTGTCCATGGAAATCAGGTTTGTCTCAATACCACTGAGTATAACACCCTGCCTTGTGCTGCTGTACTTTCAAAGACACTGCCATGGCCCTCGGAGCTTGTCCCCTTGGGGTTTGGCTGCAAGGCTGGGCGCCAAGCAGCGGCAGCGCAGCCAAGGCAGCTCCCTTGTGTTGGTGCTGGTGGGACAGGCTCCACTGGCAGCGCTAGGGGCTTCACAGGTGGCCGAGTCCTGCCCATGGGAGCTGCTTTCAGCTGCRGTTCCCCTGCGGGGAGCTGCCCCAAGCTCCAGCGCTGATGCCGTGCAGCTGGGTCTGTGCCTGGTCCCAGGCCTCCTGATCCAGGCCACCACCCCGACCTGTGAGCTGGACTTCATGCTCTGGCCTCAGCCCCCACACTGACCCATAAGCTCATTTTCCAGCCTGGCCTAAGACCCGGCCTGTTTGTCTCACTTGGTAGCGCTGGGGCCAGCCCTTCTTGACAAGGTCCCTGTCATGCCAGCTGAGGAGCCCCCTCCAAGGGCTGCTGATCCATGTGGTGTCTTGACAGAAAGCACCTCACGCTGGGGATGGTCAATATGGGTTATGGCCAACCCGAAGTTTACAGCTGGATGGAGAATGGACATTCTCTTTTACAGGGATTCAGGATTTCAGATCTTGGATTCACTCCAAGTTAGGCCCCCAGCCGGATCTGACAGATTTCTCCTTAACATGGAATGACTGCTGTCTATCCAACTCCAGGAGGGAGTGAGAACACTGGAAGCTCTGTGAGCTCCAGTTATCTTCAAGCAACTGTCTCTGGTAGCCTCCATCCAAGCAGTCCAAAGACATCAGACATCTTGGACCATAGAGATCCAGGGCCAGAGTATTCAAGGTTTTATTCCCCTGGTGGCTCACCAAGGTTATTAYGGAGATGAATGGCCAGGATGGCTGCAAGCCACACAGGCTGTGTAAGCCACACAGGCAGGGCTGAATCGCAGYGATTTGTGCCTCTCTGGAAGATTGTTACTGAAGTCAACATTTCCTCTGAAACGCTTTGGATGGAATAAACAYGTGAGAATCTGGCTTGGGCCCAACAGTCCTGATATCTATCATAACTATGTTAACTCATGCCCGGCCACATTACCACAGGGAACAGAGCTGCAAGGAGATAGGCAGGACAATAATTTCAGAGCCTCAAAATGTCCTCCCTGTTTATGCTTCATGTGACTGACTGACAGCTTGGCAGGTTGGCCAGGCCGCAACAGGGCTTGCATGGGAGAGCACGGGATTAATCCAGACACACAGGACTTTCTCCCCACAAGATGTCCACTCATTGCTTTGGAGCAGAGGAAGATGAGTCATTCGCCACAGAGGGTAAACAAGTTGTCTGTCACTTGGCAGAATAATGTGTTGTCTTTAGCGGAGGCGTTAGAAATGGCAACACTACCATCTGGAGCCATCATTTCCATTTAAAAAGGAATCAGTCCAGAGAAGACAACCTAGAAGATTTCACCAGAACGACCTAGTCCTAATCCATTTATGAGGAAACACTAAAGTTTTCCAATGAGTTTGGTCTTCAAGATATCTTTCTTCAAGTCCTTGTCTACCGCATTCATTTGGGTTTGGATTTTTGTGGGTTTTTTCTTTTCTTTTCTTTTCTTTTTTTTTTTTTTTTCCTTTTCTGGACTCTCTCATTCCTCCTCCCAGACTTTTCCCTCTCAAAAATCTATCTTTTAGAAATTAAAAAAAAATACAAAAAGTGAAAGAGCATTTTTCAAGTGTTTCCACAAAATACTTCTGAGCTGTTTACCTGACACTGTAATAAGAAAAACATGAACAAATGTATAAACAGCTATAGCCCTCCTATACACCTATAGCAATACACTTATTAAAAAGTGTTTGAAGGATGGTGAAAAACTAGTGGAAACTATCTGCATTATTATAATGCCAGTAGATGCAAATGGAACCTATTTTGTTAGGTGCTGTGCAAACATTTCCTGGTACACATGAAGTACAGCCCACTGGAGCTTRTATTTCTCTCATTTCCTTGACCTGATTGAAAACACATAATTTATTTTTTTGTATTGACAGCACTCTGGACACTAATTCTCCTCTGCTGGGAGCACTTTTAATGCTCCCTATGTAATGCGCTACTTCAGTGCCTTTGTATAAAATATATCAACCTAACTGAGAAAGGTTTCCTTCCTTTCCTCAAAAGTGCAATTTGTCTCTGAAATTACATCTGAGGCTGCAAATAAGCAAACAGTCACCCCAGCACCTGTGGCAGCACCCCTGCAGACCAGAATATGAGAATTTTACACTATTTCCACAGGAACTGTCCTTCTCCCAGTGGACTCAACAGCACAAGTCAAAAACATGGGCTCCCACATGCAAGAAGAAGCCCCTTTTAGGTTACTTCACAAGTTCTTGTGGAGCTGATGGTAAATAAGAAGTTTCCTCATTTTGATTGAGAAACAGCAAACAGATTCCTGCCTCAGTGAGCAGGTAAAAGCTCTCAAATATGTCTGGAATAGTTTCTCTGTAATATCATGGTGTGTGCAGAAGAGATTCATTTCCCATCTGGTATATAAATTTGTTTGCATTATTTGTTTCTATTAGCAACTACAATTTACTAGAAACCACGCAAGCATTCGGACACAGTTCTACTCCCAAGAAATGAGAAGGGATGAAAGAGAAAATAGGTAAAAAAAATACAAGTATTTAACTTAATGGTTGGTTACATCCTTTAAAGAAACAGGATACACCCAAATCAGAGACTTAAGTAATACCAATATTTAAGTGGTCTGCCCTTAGACTTCACAGGTAGTCTCCTTAGATCATCTCAGCCCACAGCAAGCCCGTGCAGCGATGTGCACTGTGCACTTCCCTGTTACTCTTAACTATTAGATATATGGGCCTACATCTGTTTTCTCTCCCCTTTCACTTTACTGAATAGCTAAGGTCTTACAAATGACACAGGAGACAGGGCTTTGCAGGAGGAGTTTGAATGCAGGGAGGGAGCCTTGCAAATCAGTTTAGAAAGGGTGTTCCACAGTTGAGGAACATCCCAGAAACAGCTGTAGTATTTTATCGGCATTAGCTTGGGATAGCTGCATTGCATACAAGCTCCAAGCACAACACATAATATTGACAGAGTCTTGCATTTTCTTCTTCCATAAACCTCGTGAATTTATATACTCTCCATGACCTAGGAGGTACTGCTCTCTTTTCTACACATACCCTTCCAGAAGGATACTGACATCCCAACTGCTTCAATGACAGTTGTCAGAAATGGGCAATGTGTTTTTTAAGCTCCTAAATTTCTGAGCAGCACCTTGTCAGCCAGTATCAGCACACTGCCTTGGGATCAGCATGCTACAGGGAACGATACTGCACTAAAACAGAGACAGAGTACTCCCTAGAATCTCATTTAAGAATGAGATTTTGAATAAAACGGAGTTCACATGTTCACATTACATGTTCACACCATAAAGAGGATCTGTTTGATTTTTCGTCTTATTAGTACACTTACAGTTTTCTCTTTAATACTATGGTTCCCAATTTTCAATTCTTCTGCTAGGTACTTCACAAATGCTTTAAATAATTTGTCAATTTTATAATTCTTTTCCTCAGTCTGAAGAAGAGAGTCTGTGTTTAAATCCTAAGTAAGCTTTGAAGACCTATCTCTTTTGTGGCACTGTTAGATTTTTCTGTCATGCTACTTGCTAAAACTTAAATCCATTTGAGACCAAATTGGATATGACTTCAATTATAATTGAGCTGGAAATTAAGGTGTAATATCTATACTCTGCATAAAATGATAACCGCAAATACATAATTGCCACCTTGATATCCTTTGGCTATTAGAAGAAAGAACATGAGTCAGAACATTAGCAGTGCTGTATATTAATCTGTACTAGGCTACACTATTTTGTTTTAATGTTAAAATATGAAGGAACTTCATCCACTCTCTGAGTCTGCTTCCTTTTCCACCTCATTATACTGATAATTTATATGTCTTACAAAGGTTTTCAATTTAAAATGTACTCTGAAAAACTGAGGGAAATCAATCACTTGTGTGAACTGGACTGAAAAGGTCAGGAACTTACATGAGGCAGAGGACTGAAGTTTCTTTAAATCAAAAGTAGAAAAAATAACATGCAATTTGTATTTCACAGATGGGGCTATCTGTCAGAAAGGGAGATTCAGCCTTTCATTTAACAGTCACCGAAACAGAAACTGGGGAGCAAGCAGAGGGCCACAAGGGATGGATAAAAGGACTGATCTGCAAGCAAAGCAGCATCTTTGAGCTCTGAGAGCCCAGATGTTAAGGGCTAACTGCAGCTTAAAATAAACTAGATGTTGCAAAGGAAATAAAGGCTGATAAATATAAACAGAAAACAGAACAAGGTAAAAAGTAAAGACTTGGCCTCAGTTTCTTGACAATATTGAACATGGGGACTACTAACTCACAACGGTGAAAGAGCTGGCCCTGGAAATAGCTAGGTTGGCAGTAATGACTGCAACCCAAAATCTGCCTGGACTAGATGACCTCTAGAGGTCCCTTCCAACCTCAACCATTCTGTGATACTGAGAAAATCAAGTGATCCTGAAAGATCACTTGAGAAATTAGAAGCTTATGTTATAAGGAAGGAAACAATGTGTGTTAATATGGACTCATTAGTGTGCAAACTGTTAGAAAAGCTGTGGAAGGAAAGAATGATGAAAAGCATGCAGTTTAGTGAGGAAAATAGAATAGGACAGCTCATGCCAGGTAAAATCGATATCTTTACTTTGCAAGATCATCTCCCACCTCTTTTTCTTTTTACTTTTCTTTTTCTTTGAATTTAAAGGCAGAAAGGATATAATACTCTGTGCAGTCTTCAGTAAAAAGGATAGTTTCACCCAGAGCAGAGTAGAGGGGGAAACAGGCAACTAGCAAGAAGGGAAGTATCAGGGATTGCACTGAGACAAGAACCCCTGGGGATGGAGAATCAAACTGGGTTTAGTATCTTCTAAACAGTTTGSTGCTAGAGTAGAGACCAGCTAAAGGCACTCATCTCACCTAAATGTTGTGGTCTGCAACTCAGCCATTTATTTGAAAATGGTTGCTCCTTTCACTGTCATTGCAGGGAGAAGCACCAAAAGAAAGGGTATAGAGAAGAGGTGTCTAAGATAGTTCCCTTTTTCTCAGGTGTAGTTTTCTTTTTGCCTGTCTGAGAGAAAGTCTAGATTATTTTGCTAAACCAACAGCCCAACTTTCAGATAGCTAAACCAGGGTATTTAGTGGCTGGCATARGAAGGGTATTTTATGAAGAAAATTAATTCCTGACATGCATGGGAAATAATTTTTTGTTATTAYTTTTTTAACCCACACTTGGGGTTCAAATGTAACTGCTGTGCATGGCCCTTGTTTAACAGACCTCAGTCTTCTGCCTCCCAGTGGAGGCTGCTGGCTTTCACAGTGTCATACTGGACCTGCAGTAGTTTTGGGGGCTGAGATAAGCAGGCAGATCTCTGGGGGTGAAAGAGCATCTGCCCTTAATTTGTCTGTCCTGCAGTAGTGAGTAACAGGTGAGAAAATAATAGAATAAATTAGCCCTTAGTAGCCAGCCAGGAGGTTGATTCTTATTACTGTGATATGTATCTAGGGAGAGGGACTAGAGATTTAGAGCATATATCTTCTTTCTAACTGAACTCTGTAATTTCAGCAATTTCTCATGCACGAGCTTWAAGTTTTCAGAGCTTAATGACAGGATGCTGCATAAGGAACTACTAATGCAATTTATATGAAGCATACCAGAAACTCCAAACTGAGGCCCCCTTGTRTAACATGTTGAAAAGACATTCTTACGCATGATCTTCAAAAACAAAGAAAATATACTATTTTAAACTAGCTCTTTTATGGCTGTTGTGTAAAGAATAATCTCTTTGTAGACTTCTGTCTCTTAACACAGCACCTGGTGGTGCCTACCTTGCAGCAATCCAGCATGTAATTGCTGCTCACAAGAGAAAACTAACTTCACCTAAAATTTCATGGTCCACAGTAAAAGACACTTCATGTGACAACCCAAATGAAGAAAAGGCACACATGATATCAGCTTCTTTCTCTCCCCATTGTTTGCTCCCATTTCTACATCAGCTTGTTAATCTAACACAAAAATCAGGAGTCAGGTGTTCAGCAGTGTTAACTCTACAACAACGATTTCTCCATACTCACTTTTGGCACATGTGGATTAAATTCTACTGCTCTGTGAATAGCTTCTACTGCATTCATCTCTGCTGTACTCAGCCCTCGCCTTGAGGCAGCCTCTGGGGAAAATCTACAAAAGCAAAGACACAAACACATTAGGTCAGAAATGTCAGCAAGTAGAAGTCAGAAAAGGAATCTAGACCATGGGCCCATGTAACCAGACTGAGCCAATTTCCTATGCTCTCCAAACTTCCATGGTAAGTGGAAACTCTGAGTGACCTATTACGTCAAGGCCAATGAAAATCCCAGCAGAAGTGGAAAGCATGTTTGCATCTAATCACAGCAGGAAGTCAGTTCAAATAATCAATACTGTCTCTGTCACTAATCTAAATTTGCTCTAGATATCTTTCTAGGGGGGCACAGTCATGGCTGAAATTGCAGAAAAATGAAAAGCAAAAAAAACCCAATGCCAAATAATTGTTGGAGAGTTTCTATTAAAAACAGATTTGGGAAGGTTTTAGGGAGGTTCCCAACCCAATGCCCCTGGGTCAGGTTGGGATGGAAGCACGATGCAGCAGCAGTAGCGGGTGGTCTACTGGCCACAGCACCTTTGAGGGTGGCATGCCCAAACTGTGGGCAAATCCTCTGCCCCAGTGAATGAAAAACCAGACCATGCAATCTCTTTCTCACCTCACACCCCACGGCTAACTCCAGAGCTGTACTTGGCAGGCAGACACCACAGGGAAAGCTGTGACAACCTTAGCCCTGCCCTCCCAAGCTGGAGTCGCTGTGTAGGGAGGAAAGATGTTGCAGTAGGTACTGGCGATCTACAGGATAAAAAGAATGAAAGAAAATTACTTAGATCTTGATGTGTACATACACTTTAAAAGCAAAAACTGTCAGGATGTCAGTTCAGAAAATGGCTTTCCACTCTCCTTGCTTTCCTGCTTTAGGGAGGCATTTGACCCTCAGGTACACAGACACAACTCCTGCCTGGGATTTGTGTGAAGGCATCTCAGAGCAGAATGTGGCTCTGGATCTCTGTCTCACAAGGAGCTGAGCAACCTTTCAGAGTGGGGCAATGCTCTCAAGTGTACTGGCATCAAGGAGATGTGCTCAGCACCTTGGAAGGTTGAGACCCAAGAGAAAAAAAACAGAACAAGAATGAGCAGATACTTGTGCCTAAAAATCTGAGCACCGTCTACCTGTTAGAAACCCTGACATAGTAATGCTAAATCCACCTCCTGCTATTGAAGTAGATCAATAGTCTTCTAACAGCACTTGTAGAACAACACTGCTACCACTGTGCCCACGTTTATGCATTACCTTTTGGGGGTCTACACAAAATGAAGATGTTCAGCCACACAGCACCTTTTAGTTGCATCTCCTTTATACTAGCTAGGAAGCTACTGCTCCCTAGATAGTATATATAAAACCAAAACAAGAATTGAATTTATGCTATTTCTCTTCTTTTCTTCTTCTGTAATATTTGAAGTGCAATGTCTGGTCAATACAAGTTTTTCTTATATTTAAAAGTCATTTTGTGAATTTACTGCAGGACAGATACTCCTGCTAACCAGGGTGTGGGCTCAGTGGATCAGCTAAGAGAAATCTTCAGTTAAATTGTTTTTTTATTGCTGGATATTGGTTCTTATGCACTTACTTGTCAGAGACAGCTCTGGCTTTGAGCAATGCAGCTGTGTAACATATTGTTGCTGATTTTGGTAAGCTTATATCTGTTGAAAAGAAGGAAAAAAAAGTAAGCATCTGAACTGTTAAAAGTCTGTAGAAAGAGAAGGGTTTGTCTAGTACTTCCAAATGGTACAAATTTATATATACTAAAATATATATATATATTTATATATACTAAAAAAATGGGATGCACAAAATCGTCCAGTAACTCGAGTACATTCTGATCTTGGATTTGCAATGCCATGTCACATGGCTTTTAGATTTATCTCCAAGTAGTGATCACTGGAACTGCTATTTAAGCAGCAACTGGGTTAATGAAGAAACTAATTCAAAGACTGCTGTGACATGGATATAATTAAAGAATTCATTACTTCATACATGAATGCATAGGTATCCTAGAAAACATGATTTTTTCCATAGTTTAGGAAATAAATAGCTGAGGGCAATCTTATTCCTTTCAGTATTTTCACTCAGAAGCAATTTAAGATAAATACACAGCAGTTATACATGTTAAACCAGTTATTTAAGTAATAATGGATTTGACATGCAAGCAAATAACCAATAAATTTATTGCAGTTAAAGATTAACTGTAAAATAATGTGTTCTGCTTCTTATGGGAATCTTGGATCAAAATTTTCACCAGYCAGTCTCTGGCCCTTTTATGCTGTTCCAGAGACTCAAAGCAGCCATAAACCTGACTTAACCCATTAGCTCAACTTTATTTATATGTGCTTTTTACCAACAGATTGACACAAARTGTCCAAAGGGTAGAAATAAATGCTGCTTATCAGCCTTTGGCAATAGATTTATTTCCACTGAAATGCAGAAGAACTGATTTCCACATTAGTAATCCAGCAGGCACATAATACATAATATCTGAGACATTCTGGCATTTAAAAGTTAAAGATATTTATTTTCCATGCAACTGTTAAGTGCTGGCTTCTGCAAACATCAAAAACAAGATCTTGTTGCAGGCTTGCCTATAGTATATTCCAACTATAATGTCACCAGACTATACAATTGAAGAGACTGAGGTAATTAACTAACTTCAACAGCATATAGGGCAGTCTGGGTGATAGATGTCTTAATTACTACACTAATAGAGGCTACAGTCACATACCTGGGAACACTTTAAATATGTTCTCCTCCTGTCATTTATAAGCACCTGCAATAACCCTATTTATAGCAGGCTCTTTAATATTATAATATTAAATCTATTCCCACCAAATACACGTTATCTTTCTCAGAATATATCAGTCTCTGTCTTTTAGTACAAATTTTACTATCAAACCATAAGTAGAGTGAAAAAGGGAGTATTTTTCTGAATGGAAAAGAGAGAAACAAAAACAAACAAAATAACTAGCAGTGATTTAAATGAGTTTCAATTAACCAACAGTATACCATATTTTCCCCTTACTTTTAAAGGGATCTGGGTCACCAATCCAACAATGTCACTTGGGAAGTATTTGCCAACCATCAATTGAAGCCTAGTCCTGTCTCAGTGACTTCAGTTGGTTCAGGATCAGACGTCTACAAAATTTTTATTAATGGCACACAACAAGAGGTAGCTCTGCTACTTAAGAGCCTCTGGAAATCCGTTTCCTCACACAAACTCCACATTAAAAAGGGATTAATAACAAGAATGTTTCCCAGAGTCCTTTGAACAACATAGTACCACGTCAATTTTCAATGTCTTAAGAAGCCRAAAACTAGAAAGAACTGAGAGATCAGGAGGATATATCTGATGTAGCAGAAGAACGTCTGCCAGTGAAAGCTGCCTGCACATTTTCACTGAGGGAAGCAGGGATGCCAGCAAAAGCTGACATTAGGAATGACAGCAGGAATATGGCAAGCCAGCCATTAATACATAATTTATGAGGATGAAATCATGAGAGCGCTTGATACAAAAATCCCCAAACAACATGCGTGGTGGCTAGTGTCTGGATCATTGACTCCTGAATTGCTTACRTTCAGTGGAAGTTATATGGACCAAGCCCTGGAGGCATCCTAATCCTTGGCTAGGATCACGCAGAAGAGACTAGAACATCCTACAGAAGCAATTGCCCTTGACGCTGGGTGAAACATGCCAACAGAAAACAGAGTATCACAAAACAAGAACTTCTGCGAGGTAGTCAGTCCTCCTGGGCTGCAAAGAGCTGAGAAGAATCTGGGTGTATAGAATCATAGAAACACAGGATCATTATGGTTGGAAGAAATCTTCAAGATCACCAAGTCCAACCGTAAGCCCCTCAACACGATACCTGCTAAACCATGTCCCTAAGTGCCTCATCCACATGTTTCTTGAACACTGCCAGGGACGGTGACTCCACCACTTCCCTGGGCAGCCAGTTCCAATGCTTGAGGACTCCTTGCACATAGAAATTCTTTGTAACATACACTCTGAACCTCCTCTGGCACAACTTCAGGCCCTTTCCTCTTGTCCTATCCGTAGTTATTCTGSGGAAGAGATCGACCTCCACCTCGCTACAGCCTCCTTTAAGGTAGTTGTAGAGGGTGATAAGGTCTCCCTTGAGTCTCCTTCAGACTAAACAACTCCAGCTCCCTCAGCTGCTCCTCATAACGTTTGTGCTCCAGCCCCTTCACCAGCTCYGCTGTCCTCCTTGGGACAYACTCCAATGCCTCCATGTCTTTCTTGTAGTGAAGGGCCCAAGACTGAACACAGGATTCGAGGGGAGGTCTCACCAATGCTGAGTGCAGGGGCACGATCCCTTCCCTGGTCCTGCCGGCTGCGCTGTTCCTGACACCAGCCAGGTTGCCGACGGCGTTCCTGACCACCTGGGCACACTGCTGGCTCATGCTCAACTGTCTGTCTCTCAGATGCTTTTCTGCTGCGCTGYTCTCCAGCCGCTCTGCCCCAAGCCTGTAGGGCTGCCTGAGGTTGTTGCGACCGAAAAGCAGGACCCAGTACTTGGCCTCATMCACTTGGTCTCTGCACATTGATCCAGCCTGTCCGGATTCCTCTGCAGAGCCTTCCTACYCTCAAGCAGATCAGCTCTTCCTCCCAGCTTGGGAGACTCAACTAGGATCAGTGCAGTGCCAATCCTGTGCTTGCAGAACCACCAACACTGAGCTGCTGGTGTCTATGCAGAAGGGAACYGCAGCCACATGAGGCAGGGCTCCCCGGGCAGACCCGCAGACCACTGCAGGTGTTCCTGCAGAAGGAACTGGATTTTTCAAGGGAATACTGTGTTTGAATCTGATTGTCCACGATCAAGGACAGAAACAAAAAGTGAACAAAAAGACTCTGGATTGCTTTTGTAACAARCCAGATGAAACAAGGCCTGAGTGAGGCTACAGCTGTTCCCTATGCCCTGATATATCAGGAAAGGAGAAGGGACATAAGGGACGACACTGACAGAAGAGTAAACAGTTCAGAATCAGAAGTTTTCTAGGAACTCAATGTTTGGGTCAGATATCCAGGTAGAATAAGGCAAACAGGAGGGCTGTAGGGCAAACAGAATAGCTAATTTTAGGATAGAGCTTGCTCAGCTCATGGAAACGATAATATCATGTACTGAATGTAACAGCAGGGAACCTGACTCACCCAGGAGGCCTCCTCCAGCACTGTGCTCCTAATGAGCAAGCTGCAATTATTTGAGGATAATACCTAGGGTCCCTTGGCAATGGAAGAAATGCATACAAATGCTCATGTTTATGTTGCTGTGGAGATAGTGATCTCCCTTAGTAGGTCCATGCCTGCTTCCCCTCTGCGTTTTGTTTTTTGCTTGCCCTGAATTAGACCATAAGCATTTGGCTCTTATACCCTGGTGTGACTGCTGTGAAAGTTTAAAATCTTTATATAATATAGGCTTCATTTCCTAAACAGAACCCTCATGTTTTAGAAAGCAGCACAGAAGAATTATGTCTTGAATTTAGTGTGGAAATCAAGCCTAAACTGGCCCTAGGAGATAACTCTTCTGTCAGGAACCGAAGTGAAGGTTTTCACAAATGAGTGTGTCCAGCTCCATGAGCCATCTGGCAAAATATCTTCCCATATAGTGTTTCCCACCCTCCTGTGATTACTTGTGGAGCTCCCACAATGTGCTGAAATATGTGACTGCTATTCTGTTGTCAAAATCATCAGGAATTTTTGCCTAATAAGAGCTGACGTGTCAATCTGAGAAAGAATCTCCTTCTTCCTTACTGCTTATATCTTTAAATGGAATACAAAACAGTCTAGACTTAATTTATGAGCATTTTCTTTGGACTATCCCCAGTCAGCTCTAGGGAGGGTTCAGAAAGTGAATTCTTAGAGGTGTCTTGCTTTGGAAAAGATTGCTTGTGATAGTAAACTAATGGAAAGTGCTGTGGATACGGACTTGCAACTATAGTATCATTGCTTCTCTGATTTATGGGAGCATTCAGAATATGCCATATGATGTCTGAATAGGTCATGGGATCTGTTGTTCTCACAAAATAGCCATTAAAATGGGAGATGATGAATCTGGATATGAATTGGTGCAACTTCCCCTGTCCAAGTCATCAGGAGTCCCTGAATGTGAAAAGATGGCATGTTGCAAATGCTTTAGTTATTAGTAAATAGGAAATCTAAATCACYAATCAAAAGTTATTCCCTATTTTGTTCCCAAAGTTATTCCCCAGTCAACAGTATAGATTCCTATGGATTTAACTCCAAATAGGCGAGCAGTCTTATCAACACATTAATATGACTTAATATTGCTAAAACTGAGATCCAGGGTCAGAGTTTGCACATATGATCCTTGCAGTCAAACTGCTGGTTCCTTTCCACATAGCACTGGAAAGGGATTAGGTTTAAGCTGTTGGATTCATGTATTTCTAAATACAAAATGGAAAATACGTCAACAAACTGAAAGAAATTAAGTGGATAGGTAAAAAATGATGATATACAGGACTGTGTGTTTTGGGGGTGCACTACAGCTCCGACTTCCTCTCCCTCACAGGTTCTCCACAGGGTCTGTGTCTAAGTGACAGAGCAAGAGTTGCCTCCATCCAGTTCTCTGCACCTGCAGACTAGAGGGTCTGCTCTTGCACTGGCGGGATGAGGAGCTCCGGGTAGGAAAGACTGAAGCAGTTCTACTAAAGGAATATGTGCAGCTTGGGCTGGGGGTAACATCTAGAAAGGTACAAGATTAAGAAAATGAATTATATTAATTAGTAGGTTGAGAGTCACTATTGGTTGTGAGCATTTGCATGCAACCCTTGGTTCAGTGTCTGGGATTAACACCAGGCAGGTGTCAAACGCCTTGATTTGACCATCCTTAATGTACCTGAAGGGGAAAGAACCATTTCTCCTTATAGAAGGTTGGAAAGAATGAGATCAGCTGAGTTACTTTAGACTTGGTGTGCACTTGTACGGGAAGGAAAAACCAATAGAACATCAGACTCACACGGTAGAAAAGAAACCAGATGGTCTGACCAGACAAACAAGCAGTGCAAGCACGTAGCTGAAGTGACAAATGATACCGACATGGAAGTAGGAAAATAGTTCTTAGAAGCAGAAGCTAAAGAAAATTCAATGGGGATAAAGAAAATGATGCTCTGGATTTTTCTGTTCCCCAAACCTTAAGTCTTATTTGACAGCACTTCTAGCACAAGGTAGAATAGGCTTTAGTTTGACCTAGGCTACAGGGAAATTATTGTCTCTTAAGGCCTCTCTTTCAAACAAAAACAAAGGATAACACAAAAAAAAAGATACAAAAACATGCAAGAGGCAACGGTTGCTTCCATACTGCCATCTGCTACACCTTCAAAGACCTTCATTTTGATTTGACATTTGATTTGACCATTTTGATTTGACATTAATTTGAAGGAGGATTCCTCAAAATAAATATTYATCCAATAAAAAGAGTTTATCTTAGAGGAGAATGATACTTCATACTAAAAAAAAAACAAACAAACAAACAAAAAAATCCTGTATCTGTTCATCCTTTGGGCTAAATTTTCTTCCCAAGTGAACTCTGACTTCAGGTGTTTACACAGTGACCTGGTCTTTCTCTTGCGCTTCCCTGCAAGTGGAGTTAAGAGAAAGGACAGTAGGTATGAAAGGTTCCTCCTACAGACCAGAAGACTCATAGATCAGTGGAAAATGCTGTAATTTTRAAAAAGAGAGCAAGGAGAGATTTAGCATCACTATGATCAAATAAGCAAATCTGACTTTTGATGCCTTAAAGGTCCCAGGTTTCACACAGTGCCCAGGCTGCCAGCAAGTAACAATGGCAGCAACTGGCAGCCCACAGAAGTTGCCCAGTCCTCTGCTGCAAGTGCCTCAAACAGCAGATCTGCTCTACTGGAGAGCAATCATCTTAAAAAGCAAGGCAAGAGGAGCAGAGCAGCTTTATTTACCATAAATACTAGAAGCTTATTCCACCAAGGACAGGCTCTTCAGCAGCTATAGCTATTTCTGCTCTAAGTAACATGGATATGTGTCAAATCATAGCCAAAAATCCTTTTAGAATTCAATCGTATTTAGGTCATCTGCACTCTATTGACAGGCACTGAACTCTGAAACCRTAATGATGTAGCTCAGCAACAGTGCATGCCTTCCCACTAATGAGATACTTTTTCCATGAATAATGAGTATGGACATCAGCTCTGTTGCCAGGTACATAATATAAACAAAATTTAACACATGGCTCTTGGTAAAGTAGTGCATCTGCTTGCAGAGGCTGTGGTTTTGTATAATATGATCCAACCTTTTAGCCCAGGGTGGGGGCAGACTACTCAAGGAAATAATTTGTTCATATGTTATCAAAATACAATAAATCAGGTTTGGTCTTAGTCAAAAAAAAGGCAGCCGAGTGGGACCAGCAGAAACTGCAGATAGGAAAGTATAAATGAGTTCATTGTAGTATATTGCAATAAATCTCACAACACATGAAGCTGATGAGTTCTAAAATGAGCTGAGACTCCCTGAGATGGGTCTTCTGAGACTCATGAAGTGTAAGAGTTATACTGGCTAAACCTGTGTTTGCTGAGTCTTTGTGCATACATACTGTACACACACACACACACACACCTTTTTTATATATATGGCAAAACAGGAATTGGAACTGCATGAGTTCAAATACAGAAGAGTTTTTTTTTTAAAGGCCTCATTGGTTATATTTGCAACCTGAATTGTGACAGGACCAGATATTTTTGAGAAAACAAAATACACTTTCAAGTTTTATCAACCTCCAGCACTCACAGTGATGGACAGAACATGGCCTCGTTCAGAAGTAGAGATCAGTACTTCAGAATGCTGAAAGGGAGCTGAAACAGGGGGTAARCCCAGATTTGGAAGGGCTGGGTTTAATGCCCTGTTCTGCCACTGGTTGCACTGCTATCTCACAGGGCCATTATGAGACAAGTACATTTAAGGCAAGAAAGTCCTGTGATGCCTGAGAAATAAAAGTGGACATTTCTATTTTTTATTTTTTTTTTATTATCTTCTTAAAGTATCAAAATAAAGTCCATRGGGATCTACATCTCTGTCACATGAATTACTGAGATAAAAGGAGCTGGAGAAGAGACTTCTGCTTTTAACACTTCCACTGTGTGTTGTTGTTGTTGTTTGTTTATCTGTTTGTTTTTCTTTTTCCATATAATCATACAGGATGGTTGAGGTTGGAGAGATCTCTTGTCCAAACCCATTGCTCCAGCAGGGACACCTAGAGCATGGGGCACAGGGTGGCATCCAGGCGGGTTTTGAAGACCTCCAGAGAACGAGACTCTGTCACCCTCACAGGAAAGAAGTTCTTCCTCATATTTAACCAAACTCAGCACAACCAAGATCTTCCCCAGAGGCATCACTGCTAACTGCCACTCAAAGCCTGGGTGACCTTCTARTCTCTGCTTACAATTATTCAACTTCAGAAAGCATTGAAGACATTTCATGTTGAGCTTGTACCTATTATTCATATTGACTGTAATTATCTGCTTTAGCTCTGCTGTAGTATACAGAGGAGCACTGAAATTTGCCTGGTTGATTCCGTTAATATCAGGTCACCGGCTGATTGCTCTTCTGATTAAAATGGTCTCAATTTGCTAAGTGATCATTTCAGTAGCCATTAACATAGCAGTATCTTCCTTTTTCAAAAACTTTGGAAATCAGCTTGAAAATCTGCTCTCCATTCAAAGAGGTTAACCAGAAAGAGGTTAAGATCTAGCAAGTAAGAACGTTTAAAAGTCCATTAAGACCAAGCTAGARTGAGGTAAATACCAAAAATGAGGTTACTTAATCCACCTAATTCAGACTTCTAGTTCACACATATATTGCTACATGACTACCTAATATTCTTTTCATCAACCAAACTTCAGCACACAGAATGAAAYGTGCAGTAACACAACGGGGAAGCGGTGACCGTAGGGGCCCTGGACTCTTTTTTTTTTTTTTTTGCAGAACTTGGGACTGTGGATAGTGAGTAAACAAGGGATTGCAGGAAATGGATGGAGAGGAGGATTACTGATAAGAACGCTGCTCAAGGGAGCTGGATTTTATTCCTGCTTCTTCCAAAAGGCTTCCACACAATGCAAGGACAACCCATTTAACTTCAACCATATAAGGTATGCCAATTAGTGCTTCTTATTCTGTCCATCTCTACTTGAGCAGACAGTCACTGAACTAAAATGCAAAGGCTACAACTGTGGTCAGCAGGAGCTGTGATTTGAGCATACCAGGTGACGGGACACTGCATAAACCAACAGGAAGGGAAAACACTGGAGTCACAGATGGGCAGCTGACAATTAATGTGAAAAGTCCACCTAAACTTTTGAGGTTTTCAACTTTTCTCCATAAAATATCAATTCTATCACTTAAAGCTTTTCAGTCTGCTGTGAAGATAAATTAATTATTGTTTGTAAAACATTTGTGTGCTGCAAAGTCAACTGACAATTCTTTGCACAGAGAAAGGGTTGCAAAGCATGGAATGAAATGTCTGCTGCACCTAAACAGTCATTCATTAAACACTAACAAAAAGCAAAAAGAGCTCTGAAGAGCTGCTATTGAGTGAGTCACCTGTATGATGAATGAAGTATGAGCTGTGTAAAGACATCTATGAAGCTTGTGCAAATCATGTTAATGGTATTTCCTATTTTTAAGTGTGTAATTTAAAAACATTGCTTCTATGAGTAATATATAGATAAAATGCAAACATAGGTGGACTTACCATCATACTTTGCTAGAACTGCTTGGACATCTGCATATGCTTGCAATTCCAACAGAGCTTCTAGCAGGTTTTCATGGATGTTGAACATGCTGAGCAAAGGAAACTCCTTCATCAACTATAATCAATAACATATGAAAGGGTTRGATTATTTACAGAGGAAGTAGATTCTTGTTTAAAATGTACTGAAACAATTAACACCAAGCTAAAAATCCTGAGTGCCTCCTGTTGTTGGTTCTTTCATGGGGATGGTTAATGTGTCTGAAAAATTTCTAGAAATCCCAATGGCCTCTGGATCAGGCTGCTAGATAAGGAATGTTTTGCATAAAACATAATTAGTCAAATCCAAGAACAGAGCTGCCTGAATGTGCATCTCTCCTTCAGTCCACAGGCCTTCTTTCTCAAAGTGAAAAGTATTATCTTATTGTACTAGAAAACAATGTTCAGTAGAGTAGCTTGTGTATCACGAGTGAGCAATCCAGCATTTCGCTTTTAGTAGGAAAAAAAAACCAGAAAATCCACTGAAGAAAAATTTGAATACAATTATTATTTGTAGGTTTACAAATATGCAACTATATTTAACTAGTATGTAAAAATGCYGTTTACTTAGTAAGTATATCTTTGAAGATATGGAGAAACTGATGAAAAATAACGGTACAACCATAATCCATGACAAAAACAAAACCAGGAGAAGACTCACTAAGAAGTGTGGAAAATGAGAAACAGATAATGCACCACAGCATCCTTCTGTTAAGGAAGACACCTTCACAGGAGAACAAAGAGTAGATGGACAATTTCTTCCTGGTGTTAAGTGTCTGGCATTAGCTACTGTAAAACCTATATTGTCCTTCAGGGCATGTAAGTGACCTGTCTAAATTTTGTCCTTTGGATAGCACTGACTTTCCTGCACTTTGAGGATTACTGCAGTATCAAAAATGCAAGGGGTGCATCTCTGCATATACTCCTTGCATATATCCCTGATATTTGTATATTTCTGATTACACAATTTTCTGGTGAGGATCATGACTGCCCAGACAGCAACTGAAAGAGTCCACAGAATTTGTGCAATGGGAATGGCTGGTTTCAATGGCAGGAGCTGAACCTGTGAAAAAGGACACCAGCAAACCATGGAGTTTGCAAGCTTCTCTCCTTCACCAGTTTTTCAAAGAAAAAGGCGCCGCAGACCTTGGTATATATCTGCTTAAATGGGAGATTTGACAATAAAAAAAAAGAATATATTAAGTCACTGCTCATCAACAGAAATAACCACAGGTGAGAATTCACATCACTGGATTCATCAGTTACGGCTCCAGCGTGGAGTCGACTTCGTTTTGATTTTGTCCTCACTCGGTAATGTGTATTTAATAGAGGAAGCTGCTACTTGGCAGGAAAAAGCATGACAGGATCTGGCCCTATGTAAATAGGGATTTAAAGTTCAGAATGAACATATTGCAAACACCCCTGCCAAAGGATTAAGAAAGATTATCCCTGTTCATTGAGAATGAATAATGGCTGGCAGAACAACATTCCCTCCAGCAGAGAAGAAAAGGGAAGAGCTGCAGTTAGTTATAGATGTCCTGTGGCCAGTAAATGTTCTTCTTGCTCTGGTTCACTTTACTTTTCACTGACATCACTCACTGATTTTTTTTTTCCCCTATTTTAATTGGGTTCTGTCAGAGTGATAAACCTCTCTTCAGACAGCAGCAGATTAAAGGTCACTGTCTGGACTACCGGGCCTCCAAAGTGGCAGGTGTTAACACAGGTTTCATGTGGGAAAGGTCGGATGCTCGGGAATCCAACACACTTACAGTGAACTCCGTGGATGCTGTAGCTAGAAAAATAAAACCCCTCCAACCAGGCACTCAGCTTCCCCTGACAGTGACTGTGCACAAACCGCAGCATGGCTGCGTTAGGATAAAATGAAATAAAATACGTAGCGGGAGAGAGAGGGAGAGGGAGAGAGAGAAAGAGAGAGAGAGAGGAGAGAAAAAATAAAAAATAAAAAAAGGAAAGAAGAAGCCATGAGCTCATTTCTCTGTCATCTCAGGCTGGAGATTACATAGCTTTTACTGCAAATTATTTTCAGTCACAGTAACAATTTGCTTTTTGAGAAACCTTCCAGAAAGTAAAACTACTTAAGCGGAAGAATATTATGACAGGTCATCTTTTAGGCCTCACAGCGAAAGCAWATGCTGTGGAGGAAATAAAATGCCACAGAGGTTGCAACACGGGCCTGCTGGATGCTCGTGCAGCCAAACACTGCCTCACTCTGAGCAGCAGGGAGAGCAGCCCAAGCCTGTTCCCTCTGCTCCCTCGCAGCCAGGGAGAGGCCGCCTCACGATCCATGTGGACACAGAGAATGAAGGGCACATTGGGAGGGCATATAGGGAGGCTGCCCCAGGCACTGGCCTCCAAACGTACCCACAGCTCCCCAGGACCTCTACTCTGGACTCCAGTAGAGAGAGACCTACACGTTGCTCTGTGCCAGAGCAATTTTAACTCTCCTTCCATCTTTAGTGCACCAAGAGAAATGCCTTCACTTCAGTGACAACCAGCAGCCACACCTAAGAAAATGGCAAAGGCATCAGCATCATCTTTCTTCACATCTTAAGATTTCAAGAAATATGGCCCATATTTCAACACACAGTGTTCAGATTCAGCACTCAGTGCTTCTCCCTGAAGCCACTCTGCCTTCTCAAATGACCCTGGTCAGGATCTTGGGACTTATTTCATTGTAGAATTCCAGAGAGCTGCTGTCTCTGCCTTCGCAAAGTAGCTGTACGCCACTGAGCTGGGCCCATTTAGTTTGTAAGGCAACACCCACAGATACTAAACACATCACAGGCCTTTTAGTTTGAACTTGCATTGGTGAAAAGAGTTTCCAGTGATCCAACTCAGAGCCGGGGCAGTAAGCTCGTATTCTGCTGTAACTGCCTGCATGTTTCGGAGGAAATCCGCAGATGTGCAGAAAGTAGGGGTACTTTTTGTTCTAAGGTTTGCTAGTTATATCGCAAATATACAAAAACAGTAGTTTATGCAGGTAATTAATCCTTTTAAAAAGTTTTTTTTTTGATAATAATTAGTATTTTGGGAGTAAAAGTTGGCAGAAAAATTCTAGAAATATATTTGACATGATCAGATAACTTATCATTAGTCCTGGGAGGGCTGTATTTCCAGACTCACCCCAATCCATATTGCGGGGCGTAGGTTCAATGATTTTGTGACCGATTTGCAAGAGCCATGATCATAAAAAATGCTGTATGGTACAAGGAAATCCCCATCTGATTTACTGGATAAGGAACGAGTTTTATCTACCAAAKAACAGTTTAATGAAGAGGACTCCCTTCCCTGAGAACATTTCACTCATCAGCATTTCCTCATTTAGATACAATTTTGGAAACATTTTTGAGGAATGAAGCTTTAACTGTTGCATCTGGTTTTCTCCCTGCAATAACATTAACCTCATGCATCAATTAGCAAAGATACATTMTTCATATAGAAAACAGCTTTAAGTTACAGCTTATGCCTTCCCCTAGTCCATACGACTCAAAGGAACAGAGAGGTGGATAAATGAATGATTCTGTATATGACCTGGTGTTGACACATTTATCCTCCATTTGCATTATGGCTCTACGCATGCTCCTCTGTTTGGGTTTTTTTTTTACCAGTAGTGCATGCAACCCACTTGTTGCTTATATAAATATGCTCCCAAATAGCAAAAGCTCTTTGAATCAGTGTATTCAGCTGAATACACTCAAAAATGCAAAGTGAATTCAGTTTAAATGGAAAGGAAAAAAAAAGGGGTAAAAATAGCAATCCTTTTCCAACCTCAACTCCTCGTAGATAGGAAACAGCTTTTACTATTTCTGATGCCTGCAGTGAGAACCTGAAAGATTCATGTCCTAAACAACTGAGACTGTCATCTTCAATGGGTGACTTCTAACCACTATTGAAGAATCAAGCAAATGAGGGGATAGCACCGTTATTTCCACGGATTTCCAGTTATTTCAAGTACTTTTTGTAAGCTGCTTTCTGCTATATGACTTGCGATGTGTAAGAACCATTCAATGAACGAAGCAGAGAAGGCAAAGCATCGAGTAGCTCCTGAGCAGGAAATAAATAAACAAACAAGCAAATAAATAAAACAAATCCAAATTTCCTATAACATTATCACAGCTGAGTTTTTCACGTGTCTAAATTGTGAGCCCTGACTGAAGTTTTCCCTAGGCTTAAGGCACTCACATGCATCTTCATGTTGACTCCCTGATGTCTAATATGCTGCACTYAGGCTTAATTTTTTCCCCAGTTGGAGGACAAACATGATCTTTTTCCTTTATTCAGTTGTTTTTTTTTCCTCATAAAAGCTGCAGAAATTTAGTTTATCTTTAATCTTTTAAGTCCTCTGTCAAATTTGTTTGAAATTGAATGATGGATCAAATGCTTCTCATATCCAGAGAAGCAAATGAGCAAGAGTTGATTGCATAAGCTTTATTTTCCTAGAAAAATGGGCAAAAGATATCTAGAATAAAGAGCATCTTAATAAACACTAAGACACAAGCTGTACTGCTAGCTGCAAAGAAGTGATCCGACCTYACGTAACAAGATTGATTCCCCAAGTCTCAGAGCAGAGAGATCAGTTTGCCTGRTAGGAAGGGAACAGAAGAAAAGTTGTCAATCGTTGTGGCAGAGGCTCCCTGTGTGCCACGCCAGGCACTAAGGCACCGGGACACGTAGAAACCAGCCTAACTTCTGCTCCTAGCAGTGCAGCTCATTCCAGCGGGGTCACATCGTGGGCTGTGTGAGTGAACTGAGGTGATGTAAACACACAAACTCATAACTCAACAGCTGGGAAGCAGTAACAAGTACCCCCGACCACTCCGCACTACACTTCTGCTTAATTAGAGCACAATTAGGTTCTGTTTATTGCCTTTCTCCAAGTGCTGCATTCCTTTTGGCAGATGCTCGCTGTTTCAGCTGGAAGCACTGGAAGCAACTCTTTCCTTACTTGTATTTTTTATAGACCAGGGAGGACCAGAGCTAATGGGGCCAAATCTGACAGATCCTGCTGGGCCACAGCTTGCAAACAAAGAGTGGGAGGATCCATAAGTTTTCATCCCC